ACCCTCTCACATCTAACCACATCAAAAAGGCAATTGCTGCCTAAGTCTCTGCACAACTGACCTCTGAGCGGAACAGCCATCCTTCACCCCTTGCAGGTAACAAGCAGCAAGTGCCAATAGCTGACTTGGAGCACACCAAGTCCTTATCCCAGCTGTGTGCTCACAGACTGACTTCACGTTTGGTTAACTTCCTACCCCTTGTTCTATCTTGTTTGTGGCAGGACTAACACCCACCATGGAAACCAAGTTAAACATGTGGTGAAAGGTCATTGAGCTTAGAATCCTGACCAGCTTTACAATTAGGTTAACCTTGGGGCGCCTGGGTGGCTCAGTTGGTTAAGCGACTGCCTTCAGCTCAGGTCATGATCCCAGGGTCCTGGGATCGAGTCCCGCATCGGGCTCCCTGCTCTGCGGGGAGCCTGCTTCTCCCTCTCCCACTCCCCCTGCTTCTGTTCCCTCTCTCGCTGTGTCTCTCTCTGTCAAATAAATAAATAAAATCTTTAAAAAAAAATAAAAAAAAAAAACAATTAGGTTAACCTTGCTTTGTGATTGAATAAAGCTGTTGCGTGGAAAGACAGAACTCATGTGTGAGGCCTTTATAGGGCGCTCAGGACTCTGGAACTTTTCATAAGGAACCTCACAGTGAGCTTTTAATCATCTTTCAAGGTTAAGAGTGAAGCCAAATCAGACTCACCTGCAATACCTATAGATACAGGTTGCTTCCTCTCTTCTTGAGTTCCCCCAAAATATCCTGAGATACCCGAACCTGCCAGGAGGTGACCTTCCTTATTCACCTGGTAAGGTTCCCGGGAACCCTGTAAGCAAGAAATCGGGCTGATTTTTTCCCCAGGGGCTTCGTTGGCTCCATAAAGTCACCCTTAGTTCCTTAAAGCTGTCTGGTCTTATCTGAGCCTATGCAGGTCTTTCTCAAATACGACATTCCACTCAAAGTCTTGGTAATCTAATCAATGTTTCCAGGGGTGTCATGTTATAAGGAGAACAGATTCTTATTGAACCTCGAGGGGAGGGGGGGCAGGGGATGGGTGAAATAGGTGATGGGAATTAAGGAGGGCACTTGTGATGAGCACCAGGTGATGTATGGAAATGTTGAATCACTAAACTGTATACCTGAAACTAATATACCACTTTGTTAGACAACTATAATTGAAATAAAAACAAAAATAATTGATTTCCCATTTTGTCATTGCCACAAGCCCCATCCAAACCCTTCTAGATGTGAACTTACATCTAATTCCCAGCCCCCACCTAGCATTAATTGTACTTGTATTATTCTCCAGGGAATAATACTTGTATTATTCTCCAGGGAATCCAGCGGCTGCATAGGTTCCCATTTTGCTGTACTTGTATTATTCCCCAGGGCTGTACTTGTGTTATTCTCCAGGGAATCCAGCGGCTGCATAGGTTCCCATTTTGCATGGCCCACGAAGATGGGTTTCACTCCTCAGATACCCAACCTGAATTTGCCTGTCATTGCAGTTAGATCCAGATCCTGTAAAACATCTGTGCCCAAATTATACTCAGGAATGGGGGAAATGTGCGCAACAAAACAGCAGGGAGGAAGCCTGCCAAGTGTAGGTAGGGATTAGCTTGTCTGGACTTGCCAATCTGTCCCCATAACCATAAATAGCCTTTATGTTTCCCTGAAATTTTGAGGGGGCTTCCAAAGATAAGTGTGCTTTCAGCTCCACGGTTTATTAGAGCTAGTAGGGTCTGTCGGTTAGTGCTAGACCAGTAAATGGTTAATTCACCCTGGGGCCTCCGGCTGCCCCCTATTGCATACACTAGAGGGCGACACTGGCCTAGCCCCCAGTCTCTAGTGGTAGGGTGTATCCACCTCCTTACTGGAGGGGCACTCTGCAACACCCCTGGCTTTTTAAGACTTCCTTCAAGGGAGTAAACTGCTTTCCCTTAGGCAACACCTTCCTTAGGCTTAGCAAGACCAAACTGGGTTGTCTGTCTAGATTTTCTCTCAGCGTTCCAGATATTAGCTCTTTTTTTAAATCTTTTTTTTTTTTTTAAAGATTTTATTTATTTGACAGAGAGAGATAGTGAGAGCAGGAACACAAGCAGGGGGAGTGGGAGAGGGAGAAGCAGGCTTCCCGCAGAGCAGGGAGCCCAATGCGGGGCTCGATCCCAGGACCCTGGGACCATGACCTGAGCCGAAGGCAGACGCCTAACGACTGAGCCACCCAGGCGCCCCAGATATTAGCTCTTGCCACAATTGTTTACCAGATGGGCCCCCTCTCCATTTTATTATAGGCAATATCCTTTCTTTTTCCCTGTTTTTCAGTCCATTTCCCTTTTGACAGATTCTTTAGGCTTTCCTGAAGTCTGCCACCCAGAGACTACTGTGGTGACAGGCCAAGCAAGCAGAGGGCAAGGACTACAGGCACCATGCCGTGCCCCCCCCCCCCGCTCCCCGCCCCCGCTGACGGTAAGAAACAGTCTTCAATATCACCTTCCCAGGATCCCCCAGTGAGGACACCTGAGCTGCCACCCCTTCTCGGCCCTTCCCTCGGTGCTTCCCCACCCGTTTCAGACAGGATAGCTAGCAATCCCCCGGGTGTTTTTAGGGTATCTGTACCCAAGCACTGGTCCGAAATGCTCAGAACACCTGGCCAAGTGCCCCCACATGGCGGTGGCTGGCTAGCTTGGGAGCTCCCCCAGAAACAAGGAGCTTTCGGCTGCTCAGCCCCGTCTCTCATGCTTGTTTCTTTCTCGGTATCCAGCAGAGTAACCAATTGTTCGAAGGTGGAGGAGGGTCAGTAACGTACCCTCCAGTCTGAGAAGGCATTGCAATACCAGAAAAAGAAGCGAGCCACTCCATACCGTTCACAGTTTTACCCAGGGTAACTTACAGACAGGGGCCATCAGGCAGGCGGTCGGACCACCGGACAATCCAAGCAGCACTCCTATCTGCCGCCACTATCCGGGCCTTAATCCCCAGCTTTTATGGAGCGAGGAGCACAGGGGTGAGGTTACAGGGTAGTTATCTAAAGTGGCGCCACCTGCGTGCCCGAGGGGCTAACAAGAGGGGAGGACCAGAGGCGGAGTCAATGTTCTCAGCGCTCCTACGAGGAACCTTAGTGTCTCGGTGAAGTAGACGGGCAACTTTTTATGCTCTTGCCATTTATCAAGATGCGGGAATTTAAGGAGTAATTCTAATACCTAGGTGAACTCTCTGATGATTTTGCAGAAACTGATAGCATTTTGGTTTGTTTTAGAATTTGTGTTTTTGATGGCAAATTCATTTTAGATTGTGCTTTCTTTGCTCAGTAGGCAGTATTTTAATGAATTTTTGAATATTGTCGTTAGCTCTAAATAAATTTCTCAAGTATCAGGGTCCAAAACGAATGTTCTCTGATACTAGTTGCTGTGTTGATAGTGCCTATGCAGCCTTAGGCGGTTTTTATATTTTATTGCATTTTAAATAGCTTTACTTTAACCTTTTTTATCCTTTGAATACTTCTGTCACAAGTGATGTCCTTTTTGGTTGTCCACACTTCATTCTTCAAGTGATTTTTTTCTAGCATATATTTAAGCAGCTTATTCATGATAAGATATGTTTAAAGGAATGACTTGATATTTCTGCAAAGTGTATTAATGTAAATACATGAAAAACATTTTATTTGCTAATCTGGAGCATTATTTCATCACGGGCCATTTTTGCAGAAATACAGAATTAATCGTCATTCTTTAGTTTGACTACTTATTGTTTGTGAAGGGAGAGTGGACGTAATTAGCTAAAATTTTTCAAAACCGATGACTGGAGATCATTTTTTTTTTTTTTTAAGATTTTATTTATTTGAGGGGCGCCTGGGTGGCTCAGTTGGTTAAGCGACTGCCTTCGGCTCAGGTCATGATCCTGGAGTCCCTGGATCGAGTCCCGCATCGGGCTCCCTGCTCAGCGGGGAGTCTGCTTCTCCCTCTGACCCTCCCCCATCTCATGCTCTCTCTCTATCTCATTCTCTCTCTCAAATAAATAAAATCTTTTTTTTTTTAAAGATTTTTTATTTATTTATTTGAGAGAGAGAGAATGAGAGAGAGCACATGAGAGGCGGGAGGGTCAGAGGGAGAAGCAGACTCCCCGCTGAGCAGGGAGCCCGATGCGGGACTCGATCCAGGGACTCCAGGATCATGACCTGAGCCGAAGGCAGTCGCTTAACCAACTGAGCCACCCAGGCGCCCCTACTGGAGATCATTTTTAATGAGTTTGTCCCTCCTATTAATTTTTAAAGCCAAAGTGCTTGTCTTTAGGATTCCTGACACTATGTTCTTTACCACCATTAAGGAGACTCAGTGACCATGATTCAAACTAGCTGTGGACCCTACAGGAAAGTTGTTTTTTGGTCACTTAATGAAGAGGAGGAGGAGGAGGATGGGGACAATATAAGGACAATAATGATACTTAATATTTATTGAGAGCTACTAGGTGTCAAGCCCCGTGCTAACAACTTTACTTTCTCGTTTCTCACGGCAATCACGCAATGATGTTTGACAGTTCTGCCTCCCATTTTACAGGTGAGGAAGCTGACATTTAGTCTGGTTACCCAGGATCATTTATACCTATAAAGGTACAGGCCCAGTTCCAACCTGAGTTGGTCTGCTTTTGCCCTTTAAGCTGGTAACCGTGGCAATATAGTACCTCCCTGTGACATAAGGAAAGTCGCCACCCCCACCCCCCACCACCTCCTGATGCCCACTTCTGCCCACACTCCCAACTCAGGTGTCATGTGTTCCCAGCAGTCCTCAGGTCATCAGGGTTCTAAAGCTGCTGGGCAGCTTTTCTTTAAAAACCACTCTGAGATTGCACATTTGGAAGACAGAAGTCCCCCTTTTCCTCCTCGTACATCCTAGCATTACTGCCCTTTCCTCTTTGCATCTCCATAGTTCTGGGGGATGGATCTAAGCAAAAAGCCACCACTCATAGTCTCCCTTTCTTTTAATTAAAAAAAATATTACGATACACCTTGGTGTGAGGATAGGAGACACTGTCGCTTTATTTGAGCCTCTTTAGACAAAGTCCAAGTAGCTAATGAATTTGACACTATTTCAACTTTGTAGGAGGAAAGAAAAGTTTGCATTACTCAGCAATGAATCTGATGATAAAATCTAGATAGAGCCGGGTCTAGATTTTGTTAACATTTTTATTGCTACGTGCTCTCAATACAACAAACAGCATCAGTAGTGTACACTTGGATAAAAAGGAATTTTTAGCTTAGTAGAAAAGGAAGCTCAAAGATCAGAAGTATAACAAATATATACATCTTTCTGGGAGGTGTATGTGTGTGATCATCCTTCTCTGCATTCTCCTGTGGACCAGATGCATACATATGCAAGCAAACTAGAGAGAATTTCATTCTGGGGAAACTTTGAGGGGGAAAAAAAAATGACTTCTACTTGAGGCTCAGAGATTGACGATCTGGAATTCACCTAATTCATTTAAACTTTAAAAGTCTTGCATGAAGTAGCAGCGATTCTTTAGAGGTATAGAGGCAATAGGTGAAGCTGTGAGTTTACTATGGTTAAGAGGCCAAAATCCTTGCACATTCTGTGCTTACAGAGGTTAACATCTCTAGAGTTCATTTGCATTATATAGTTTTAGACAGTTCAGGAACTGACCTCAAGAACATTATGCTCACAACACTTCCTTTTTTTCTTTTCAGTATTTATCTCTTTCATATCCGTTAAAAAAATGTTTCTAATTCACTATTTCATTAAACAGCTATCTGGGCCTCTACTATTTTATGTTTCATCGAAAGGGAACAGGTCATTAACTTTGTATCAACTACTTTAAAAATGCAAAAAGTCTGCGTGACATCAAATTTGTTGTATTTTAGCTCTTCGATTTGGCTCTTGTTGTTTGCTTACCTTTCTCCTCCACGCACAAAATGTGCATCTCTAATTATGTCTCTCTAGTTTACCAAAACATGTCATTGATATTAGCGTAAATATTTAGTACATAAAAATACTATCAAGGAAAAAAAATCAACTTTTAATAAATATCTTCAGTTCTGAATTCTATATACAAGTACTTTACATCTACTCCCTGGAGAGAGCATTTCTGGCTTCACTGTGAGCAAGGTGACCACTGACATAAATTACTAGCACATGATTGCAGTCAGATGCATTGTGGTTGTGAACATTTGAATATGGACCATGCAGAAAATAAATATTGCGACCACTGACAAATCCTTTCTTGAATCTTCCTCCAAAGCCCCAAAGCCCTATAATACTCGGGTGTCAATTCTAGTTCGATGATGCTTTTCTCAGCTACCAACATACAAACAAATTATCTCAAAACATTTTTCTTTTGTTATTATTACAGTACATTGAGTATAGCCGTTTGTGTATGTCAACAAAGGGAAAAGACAAATCAACACAAGAACACAGGACACTTCGGTGGTGCCTACTGAGGTCCTGGTAAGAGGGTTTTAATTTTGTCTTGCACAGGCTAACTTACTAGTCTCTGTCCCTGTGACCCCTAGTCGACGGACACATCAGTCCTACTCCTTTTTATTTAAAAAGTGGAAGGTAATAGGGAAGCTGGAATCTGTATATCCGCAGCATTTGTGACTTTTCTTTTTCTGTAATTTAGGTATCGCCCTGTTGATTAGACAAAACCATACAACAAAAACCCTTTGTCAGTAGCTACAATTCTAACTTCTTATTCATAAAATTCTGCTTCGAAAATCAACCCATAGAACGTCAAATAAGGCAATACCCAACAACAGGCACCTAGAACATCCAGAAATGTAATATAGTAAACAATCATTTGAGAACACATCTCTTAAAATAATACTGATTTCTGCAATATACAGTATTTACACAACAGCTGCAAATCCGCTCATACAATACTTCTAATATAGATAAATAGGAATACAAGTCTAAGAATTTTTTGCTCCATTTCCAAAATATTTTGTTAAAGTGTAAACTGTTGGCACCTCTTTTTTTTATTTTTAGTGTAACTTTAAAAAAAAAAATCAGCCGAGATACATAATTGGTTCCAGTCCCTCTGCGGCATGAGAGAGTGACCAACACACTTAGCAACTTACTTTCCTTCTATTAATCATCTTTGGTGCTTTCTTCCAATGACTTCTGGTAAATGAGTCAATGCGGAACAAAAGGAGGATGAAAGCAACTAGAAAGTGAACCAGCACTTTTTGCTCTTCACTCACAGACAAAACGAGTTGACAATTTACGGAGATGTACACTTTCAACAAGCTGTATGCACCACGGGGAGAGGGGGCCTGTCCGGGGTTCTCCGCTGATTTCGAGCCTTGGAGGTTCGTGTTCTCATCTTTCCAAAGCGGATGATCTGACCGGATGGCTCCTGTCAGCAATTCTGTCACCTTTCTTTGAGGTTCTTGCCTGAGAAGCAGCACCCGTGGAATCACTCACTGCGAGGAGGCGGGCAGTGGGCACTTCTGAGGAGGCGTTGAGAGCGCCGCTCCTGGTGGCCGGGGACGCCAGTCTCAGAGTCCTACTTGCTGCTTGCTGAGCTCTCCTCTGGGGGAAATTAGCACCATCAGGTTTACTGTGTGGCCTGGAAGCAGTGAAGGCATTTGGACCTCCCACTGAAGACAGCCTACTCAGAGACTTCTTCTTCTCGGCAGGGGGCTCCGGATGGTAAGGAACCAAAGACGTAGGCATCACGAGAGCTCCAGGGAGGTTGCTAGGGTTCAAGACAGCATCACCGTGAGTCCCCGCAGCTTCTGGAAGGTACGGTGGTGGCAACGTGCTCCCGCGCTTGCTGCATGACTCACAACATAACTTGTTATAACCTGGTATGGAACAGTATCGCGTCAGCACCTCCATTTGACAGAATATGGACTTGTCTCCCAAACATGGCTCATCTGCAAAGGGTCAAAGAAGACAACACACACATCGAAACAGAAAACAAAAGGAAGAAATGAAAACTGTTTCGGAATATAAAAAATTTTAAGTAAAATCTGACATTAATTGGAGTTGCCCAAATGAGCCTTTGCATTAAAAATATGAAGATTCCTGGTGAGAATGTAAACCTGGTACATCCACTGTGGACAACAGTATAGATACTCTTAAAAAAAATTTAAAATATAACTACCATATGATCCAGTAAGTCCCAAAAGTATGTATCGGGAGAAAATGAAAACACTAATTCCAAAAGATATCTGCACCCCCATGTTGACTGCAGCATTGTTTACAATAGCCAAGATACGGAAAAAACTTAACTATCAATGGATGGATGAATGGATAAAGAAATTGTGGTATATGTATACAGCAGAATATTATTCAGATATAAAAAAGAATGAAATAGACGAACCATGAGAGACGATGGACTCTGAAAAACAAACAGGGTTCTAGAGGGGAGGGGGGTGGGAGGATGGGTTGGCCTGGTGGTGGGTATTGAGGAGGGCACGTTCTGCATGGAGCACTGGGTGTTATGCACAAACAATGAATCATGGAACACTACATCTAAAACTAATGATGTAATGTATGGGGATTAACATAAGAATAAAAAACAAAAAGAATGAAAGTTTGCCATTTACGACATGGATGGACCTTGAGGACATTATGTTAAATGAAATAAGTCAGACCAAGATGGACAAATACTGCATGGTCTCACTTGTATGTGGAATCTAAAACAAAAGCCCCTTGATGCGGTGATTGGTGTTTGCCAGTGGCGGGGGTTGGAGTGGGTGAAATGGTGAAGGGGGTCAAAAAGTAGAAATTTCCAGTTATAAAATACATGTCACGGGCGTGTAATGTACACATGGTGACTACAGTTCATAATACTGTATAGCATATTTAAAAACTGCTAAGAGAATAGATCTTAAAAGTTCTCATGGTAAGAAAAAATAATTTTATAACTATATATGGTGATAGGCATTAACTAGACTTATGGTTGTGATCATTTTACAATATATAAAAATATCAAATCATTATATTGTACACCTGAAACTAATATGCTATATGTCAATTATACCTCAATAAACAAATACGAACATTTAGATAAATTCACTGAAATAAGTAGTTTTTTTTCTGTGCAAAGCACTTGGGTTGACCACCATTTTCATATCTCCATCAAGTCTGCAGACTGAAGGTACTGTTCTCTTCCTAGTAGGAACCTATATCTAATTTTATTTTTGTTTATTTTTTTTTTAAGATTTTATTTATTTATTTGACAGAGAGAGCGAGAGAGCACAAGCAGGGGGAACAGTAGAAGGAGAGGGAGAAGCAGGCTTCCCATAGAGCAGGGAGCCGGATGCGGGGCTCGATCCCAGGACCCCGGGATCATGACTTGAGCCGAAGGCAGACACTTAACTGTCTGAGCCACCCAGGCGCCCCTATATCTGATTTTAGAATGAGAAAATAGGATTCATTTTGCCACAGATATTTTTTAGGATATAAAGGGACACCTTTTTTTTTTTTTTAACTTTATGCTATTTCTGGCTTTCTAATAGATTAGCTTCTACATTAAATTTAAATTTTAAATCAAAATAAATCCTGGGGTGCCTGGGCTCAGTTGGTTAAGCGTCTGACTCATGATTTCAGCTCAGGTCACGATCTCAGGGTTTTGAGCTCAAGCCCCACATCAGGTTCTCTGCTCAGCCGGGGAATCTGCCTGGGATTCTGTCTCTCCCTCTCCCTCTGCTCCTCCCCCCTGCTCTCTCTCTCTCTCTCTCATAAACCTTTAAAAAACATAATAAATAGGGGCGTCTGGGTGGCTCAGTTGGTTAAGCGTCTGACTCTTGATTTCAGCTCAGGTCATGATCTCAGGGCCCTGGGATTGAGCCCCGCATGCTTAGCAGGCACCTGCTTGAGATTCTCTCTCCCTTTGCCCCTCCCCCTTGCTTGCTCTCTCTCTCTCTCTCCAAAATAAATAAGTCTTTTAAAAAATAATAATAAATAAATAAAAATCAAAATAAATTCTAAGGCCCTATTGGAACAAATTAAATCTTAAAAACGTATTACCAAAAGAAAAACCAAGGTAACACCCAGAGTCAGTGCAATAGTTTCATTTTTACTACCAAATATTCTCAGACTATTATTTGAAAGCATAAATTTGGGTAAAGTGTGCCAATTTTCTTTTGAATCATTCATATTTTTAAACTTAATTTCACTGAATTGATAACACGTTACGTTTAAAGAGTACTAAAGTAACACTCATAAAACATTTGATACATGTGTGTACACTCTTTTTATTATTTTTAAATTTTTTTTGAGTACAGGTTATAAGAATTAGATTTCAAAAAATCCAAATGTTGAACTCATGGACACATTTGTTTGTACTTATTTTCATCCATTTTAGGGCACATCCTACGCAGCGCCCACCAACACAGTGCAACAGCTATGTCTGATTTGTAAACACAAAGAATTGTAAATTGTGGCACTTACGTACTACAATCACTTAAAATTACAATGTATTATTGGGGAATGCTGCTCTATTGCTAGGTAAGGAACCTGTATATAAATTGCTAAAGAAATTAAAGAATCTTTTTTCCTAAAGTTTGAAAAAAAAGAGGTCAGTTGGCAAGACCAAGAGAGCTAAAATTGCCACCTGTATCTGTTACCAATTACAAATTATAAAATTAATTATAAAACTACCCATTAGAGTTATAATACCATGTCCCATCCCAAAATTTGGAGATACCTGTGTTTGCCTGGCATTTACAGATCTACTAGATAGTATGACATGTCTGAATATTTCATATTAGCTAAGGTAATCATCTAACTATGTTGTGAATGCCTGCACATCACATTAATTGGAGTCCCCTCAAATATCCTTATTATTTCGGAATTACTTTTTCCATGCCTATTATCTTAAAATAAGAATATTAATTTCTTCTTCCTGTATGTTTAAGGCTCTAGGCCCTGTGATGAGAGGACTTTATTTGACCCTGTACTCTCTTTTCCCTCTGACCCGTCACCCCCTCACTCCCTTTCTGTGGCCCAGCTCAAAGCATAACCTAGTCTCTCTGTGTTAGAGAAGGAGTTCATGTACGAGGCTCGCCTCTGTGTGAGCACCTCAGCACTGCAAGGACTGGCTCACAACATGGATCTAGTTAGGGCCATTCTATGTAGACGAGGAAAAGGATGAGATATTCTGAGAAAAAAGAAAAAAGATAAGAGCAAAGGGATACATTCACTTTATGGTAATTTGTCTCAGGATAGATGGGCAGAGCTTAACAGCAACAATGAAATCGTACAATCAAAATGGGGCTTAGGGAAAGGATTCACATGACAAACCCAATCAGTAAATTAAGGAAGCTTTTCAGCCTTCTAGTTCCATGCCCAGATCATTATACGAGGTTCAGGAAAAGGGTATTACACATAGTCTCAAAAAGTCATTTGATTTTAATTGCAGTTTGAGACTGATGGGAATTATTACTTAGTTGAAATGTGTGATAGAAATGTATGGCCTGGGGCGCCTGAGTGGCTCAGTCGTTGAGCGTCTGCCTTCGGCTCAGGTCATGATCCCAGAGCCCTGGGATCAAGCCCCGCATTGGGCTCCCTGCTCATCGGGAAGCCTGCTTCTCCCTCTCCCACTCCCCCTGCTTATGTTCCCTCTCTTGCTGTGTCTCTCTCTGTCAAATAAATAAATAAAATCTTCAAAAAAAAAAAAAAAGAAATGTCTGGCCTTTTAGACCTCATAGAATTGGCTGTCGGGCCTGGATGTCAGAGCAATACAGCAGCTAAAAGATTGTGGAATCCCTAACATAGTTACGCCACCTCATCTGTACCTCTATTTTACAATTAAAAAGAATCTCGTTTAGCCAAAGGAAGAGAATCAAGCGATTCTTGCTGACAGTTGGGCATATTTGCAGAAATGCATAGCTCTACCAACTATTAGAACAGTCAAGTGTACTCACAAAGTTTTTAGCCTCTTGGCAGTAATACAGAAGAGTAAAATATTATGACAACAGTGAACTTTACACCTTCTAACCGGGTAAAGTTTGTTCTGTTGGCTTTGTCTTGTGTTTTAAATTTTCAAGTATATTTTCCAGAGAAAAAGATTAACTATCTAAGTCCTTTGTCTCCCCCTCATGGCCATACTTGTTCTTGCTACCACACATTTCAAATGAAAATTTATAATGAAATAGTTTATAAGGTTTACGACTTGACCTGAAATTTCCTCAAAAAAAAAAAAAAAAAAAGACATTTGATAAAACAGTGCCTTGACAATTTTCTTGAAAAAAGAAAGTACCATGCAGCAGATGTCAATATTTAGTTAATGGCTTCTTATGCTGTAGGCCATAAAAAGGCAACTTCTTTAGTTCCAAGTCTCACTAGTGTGACAGCAACATCCAGTCGTCATTAGGTACAGACTCAGGGAAGCGGCATTTAAGAAGAAGCTTGTGATGGCAGAAGTGGGGTGGGTAAGGAAACGAGAAGGGGGAGATGGTGTGAGGTGGGGAAGAGAGACGAAGGGGGAGGGAGAGAGAGAGAACAGACAGCAGATGGTACAGTGGGGGGGACAAGAAGAAAGAGAGCCAGACACAATCAGAGAGCAGAGACATGGGGGCTTGGAGGAAGAAAGTAGGTGAGGAAGACAAGGGATGGAGAGGAAAGAGACAGGAGTGAGGGAGATGAAGAGACAGATACAGACACAGAGTGGGAGAGAAAGGCAGAGGGACAAGGACGGGGAGAAAGGGCAGGAGGACCCTGAGAAAGGGCAAGGTGGGGGTGAAGGAGAGACACAGACAGACACAGGAGGTAGAAAGAGGCTGGGGAGATACCAGGGAGAGAAAGAGGACAATAAGGAAAAAGGAGACAGGAAGAGATGAGGAGAGAGAGAAGAGGAGACGAAAAGAAGGAGAAAGACAGGGGATGAGGATAGGGGGAGAGGGAGAGTGTGGAACGGGGTGGGGGAATGAGGTCAGAAAACACGTGTGATAGACGCAGAGAAAAGTGAGCAACCTGCAGGTGGCAGACGACAGCAAGTCAGAGACAGGGAGCCAGACTGGACCAGCACAGAGAATGAGAGACAGAGGACAGCAAATGGAGATACAAAATGAGGCAGAGGACAGAGATGGATGTAGACAGAGGGAGCACAGAAAGGGAGGAAGAGGGACAGAGTGATAGAAACGGCTGCCATCCCATACATATTTCCTGTTACAACAGTAAACTGATACATAGTTTAAAATACGCTCTGCGCTTGGGATCTAGCAAGGAGGAAGGTTAGGCAAACGTTTGCAGGCGTGCAAGTGTCTATTCCGAAACTGCCTTGCTGAAGGGCATGTATATGGATGGAGAGGTAACAGAAATGGCTTTGGGTTTTTTTTTCTTTGTTCTTATAAAGATTTATTTATTTATTTGACAGAGAGAGACACAGCGAGAGCAGGAACACAAGCACGGGGAGTGGGAGAGGGAGAAGCAGGCTTCCTGCCGAGCAGGGAGCCCGATATGGGGCTCACTTCTAGGACCCCGGGATCATGACCTGAACCGAAGGCAGACGCTTAACGACTCAGCCACCCAGGCGCCCCGCAGAAATGGCTTTGTGAATGGCACTGATCACCCACATGTCTAAGCTGGATAATTACAGCAAAATATTTCAAAATCTTCTGCAATATTATGCCTTTTACAATGATGCGAAATTACAAAGGCACAGAGAGAAAATAAGTAGCTTCTACTAGAAAAACAAATCGACAGCAGCTTCACATACGTGACGCGCCCTCACCCCTGCCTTAGCGCCTGACAGGAACCAGGGATGCCGCGGGGCTTATGCTACCTCGCTGGCGTGGGACACTGCCTCAAACACTGATCTGAAAGAAGAGGATTAGGCTCATGTGTCAGGGGTGTGCTCCTTAGGTTCTTTTTGGATAAGCAAACAGAAATTCCAGAGTTTGTCCTGAAATTCTGCTTTTTGAGGCTTCAAAACCATTGTCAGAACAGTGAAACCAATCGGCGTCACACCTACCATTACAGGGAGGCAGCTGACAGGCTCTGACGGCCTCGGGCTTCTCCCCTGCACAGTGGTCTCCCGCCCTGCAGAGGACCTGCCTCACCTCTGTTCCTTCCCCGCAGGTTACCGAACACTAGAGAAACAAAGGCTACGGTTAGAGAGGTTTATTCCACCAAGACCACCTTTCTCCCTGTGGACACACATGCACATGCGCGCGCACACACACACACACGCTTGCACAGCTCTGTAGTTCCTTCTCCATTTTGTTTGGAGACAGATAATCATAGGTTTAGAACCTGACTGCAAGACTGACCAGCCCGGGCACATTGCAGCTTCTCTGAAAGCTGGGAAGGTTAACACTTGCCTCAGGACTAAATGAAGGCAAAGGAGACAATGTCTGTAAAGCATTTGTGCCCCACAGGCAGTAAGCACGTGACAGGCAAGAGGCCATTATTGTAATGTTAATACTTGCAAAGTTCTCCCAAAACAGTAGTGGCCCCTCTCTTCAGGGAGAGATCCTGTTACTGACCTTCCCATTCTTTCACCTTCCTAACTAATGGTAGAACTTATTGGCAGGCTACCTTGGTTAATTCAACCTCTTTGGAACTACGACTATTTTATTCCCATCAATTAATTTCTTTATTGAAGGGGCTAACTGCTCTAAAATTAAGTCCAGGACCATCTAAGCCATTGTTCCAGGTAGGAGCTAGAGAGGAGGGACCTTTGTTCCAGGACCCTGAGGAGAAGGAGATGTGAGTTATCTTTCCGGTCCCATGCAGGTGACCTTCACTCGCCTGTTCCTTCCTTCCTGGGCCTGCTTTCCACTTTCTCCTTCATTCTCTATCTGCTTTGTGATGTCCTTCCCTCCTATAAACTTTTCTCCTTTTGAATCTTTAGAAATACCAAAGGCGTGGGATTAATTCAGGCCACACGATGCTGAGTCAGCAAACAAACATCAACTGGGCAGGTCCTGGCTTGTAGTGGGGAAGCAACACAGAGTCTTCAAGAATTGTGTGGACCAGTGGCAGCACCAACTCCAAGACAGAAGTTACAGTATTCTGTCTTGAATGGCATACTAGAGGTAAGCCTCTTCGTTTTTGGAATGTAGAGGGAGGACTGTGGGAAAGGCAGCCCTGGAAGGTGGTATTTTGGACCCTGGAGATGAGCCCTAGTGGAGGAGGAGGAGGAGATGGTGAGTCAGGAGGTCCGGGGAGGGCCATCAGCTAAAAGGTGGGGAGACTCCATTGAGCATGGTCTTTTTGGAATAGCAAGGAGGTTCTCAAACTGGAACACAGAGTTGGAATAAAGAACAACAGAGCAAGAAGAGTTAGCATGGGACTTACTGTGGTGAACATTTTGCAATATATACCAATATTGAATCATTACATGGTACACCTGAAGCTGATATATACTGTTACGTCAGTTATACCTGAAGAAATAAAAGGAGGAGGAGTGGGGGTGGGGGTTGGAGGAGGGAGAGGAGGAGGAGAAGGAGAAGAGTTATCATGGTGCCAAAGGGGGCAGGGCCCTGCATTCACGGTCAGACGTTTGGAATTCATCCCGTAGGAATGGTGTGAAGTCAACGAAGACAGGAAACAGCCCAGTCACCTTTAGACGCGCCGCTACCTCAAAACACACCCAAAGGCGGTTTGCCCCGACCAACTCATCCTAAATGCCAGCACTGCTCTAAAACTGTGTTTCCTGGCACCTCCAGGTGCTTGCTGATGACACAATCTGTGGCCACATCTCAACTCACACAATGCCTACCTGATACGTGAGCCAAATTAAAATATGCCGCGCACGCTTCCGCACACTTCCGCGTGCGCACGCACACCCTCTCACACACGCGCGCGCGCGCGCACGGGCGTCGCACGCCCACCTCGTTCCAGGGCCCTGTTTTCCAGTGGGAGGGGCAGGGCACGCGGTTGCAGGGCCGCCGGTTGTCGGGCCTGTCGGCAGAGCAGTACTTGCTGTGCACCGAACGGTTGGTGCCGTCGTGGAGCGGCTGCAGGCAGCGTACGGTGCGGAGCTGGTAGCCAGAACTCCCGCAGGTTCTGGTGCAGTGCTCCCACTCCTCGGCCACCCAGCTGCAGCGCGAGGGGGAGAAAGGGGTACACGGTTAGCGGCTGCCGCGCGCACCCTCCTGCCCTGCGCCCTGGGTGACGGGCAGCCCGGGGAGGGCACGCTCCGGCTCAGGAAGCAGTTTCAGAAAGAGGGACGCATCCACCAAGTCCAAAGTCTGAGCATTTTCTAACAGCAATAGGCCCGACACTTCTGTGTTTAAAGCCTGGGTATTTTTCTGCCTCCCTGTGATCTGGAATAACCTCTTTCTCTAAAGGAGGATCCACCGACAGAGGGTTTCTGAAACTCATCTGAAGGTTGCCGGGTTAGGTCTGGGCAGCATGGCAGTTTTTCAGAAACACACCAGTGGGCTCTCAGCCACACTGCCTCACGGTATTAATCATCTGAAAGGAAATTTAGAAAGACAATCCATCTGATACTTGCTGAGACGAACTGCTTTGGCGGCTGCTGCTTTTCCATGAAATCCTGAGTTTCCTCACGATTTAAGATTCTAACTGAGATGACAGTTTCATTTCTACAGTTGCCCCCGAGAAGGCTGCCTGACGTACCTACCCTGTTTGGAAAATTCAGTTCTTCATAGCGGCCCTTAGGAGGCCCAACAAAAAGGTAAAGGTAGTGTGCATCCAGGGCTTGAATGCACCTGATAGAAAGATTTCTAAAAAGATTTTCAAAAAAGATTTCCCATGGGACATTCCCCAATTCTGGGGCGACGTCAATGGCCCCAGCACTCTCCACATCGGCTGTGGCTGCATTATTAGGGACAGGTCTCCATGACGTGTGGCTACGTGTGGTCCCAAGGGGCCGTCCCCAGTGATTCCATCTGGTTCCTCAATCTGTCAGAATGTACGTGAGGCATACTCTTTATCCTTTCCAGAGTTACTTTCCCTCTGCTTTTTTTTTTTTCTTTTCACATATATGGGGCATCAAAATATAACCATGCTAAAACCTTGGCAGTCTTTGCTGTCCCCAGCTTAGGATGGCTTTGACGAGTGTCAAACTGGCAGCAGAATGTTTGTGGCAACTAAGCAACTGTAAGGCCCTCAATAGCAACTCTCATTTGAAGACAGATACTATATGAGAAGTATACACTTCATAGATACTCCTGGTTAAGTTTAGTCCCTCGTGGAATTCCTAGAATGGTAACAAAGGGGAAAAATGGCATAAATCCACAAAGGTAAAAAAAAAAAAAAAATTGGATAGAATGCACCAAAAGATAAGCAGTGGGACATACGGCTACCAGCTCAGCAGACCTAAGAGGGATGAAGTTTAACTCAGCCGTAGAAGCTGGCAAGCAGACTGACTTAGCGGCAGAACTCCAGGAACATGCTGGATTGTGGCCGCAGGTGGAAGTGTGCACTGCAAAACTGGGTGAAGGCAGGGCTGAAAACGGGACTGAGGAAAAGTCTGCGTGCAAACAGGTCCACCTCCTGATCCTTACCCCCACCGGTGGATTGCCCCTCCTCTAACCCAACAGAAGGTCTGACGTTTATCCTTGGCGGAAGATGAACGAGACCTTTAGCTTGTGGACAACAGACATAGTCAAGAGACAATAGAGAAAGAGACCAGAGTGAAAACAGGGGGCTAGGTAAGAATCCACAATTGGAATGGTGCAATGACTTCCAGAACAGCTATCAAATAGGCTTATGCTCCCTAGGCAGACGATTGATGCTGCTCTTTGGAATCGGATCATTTCCTTAGAAAAGCCCTAAGTATACACTGAGGATCTTCAATGAAAGAGTCCAGCCAGCTTGTCCTACAGTGAAGCCCACCAGCAAGCAAGTCTTGAGCATAAAGCAAACTTCCAAGCAGCCTTTTAATACTGTATTCTTACGTGCGTGAAGAGCCAACAATCAGCTGACACAGAAAAGCCTCTAACACAAATCATGGAGGGGGAAAAAAGAAACAGAGGAAAAGAACTCAAAAGAAATAATGCATGGAAAAGATAATCTTTAATATCATAAAAGAGATAAAAGAATATTTACATCTGTGAAATAAGCATCCAATGCCTTAAAAAAGGAACACGTGAGGAATAAAACAGAGTGCTTGGATATTAAAGTGCTCTTGGATAGTAACACAATAGTAAAAATGAAAAATTCAGCAAGTAGAACAACAAACAATAGATGAGAAAAGAAAAGAGAATCAGATCTGTTTAAGAATCATAACTACAAATATCTTAGAAAGAAAGAATATTGAAAAAATAGGGGAAAATTTTCCAAGTAAAAACACAGGAAAATGTCCCGGAGATGAAAGATACTGGTTTTGTGTTTTAAAAAGTCTTTGAGTACACAGCACAATGGATGAGAAAAGTAGAGCATCAACGACGGGCAGTTCTACCACTGTGAAATTTCGGGACATCGGGAACAAAAAGAAGATCCTATAAACTTTGAATGACAAACAAAAATAGAAAGCATTGAGAACCAGAAGAGTAAATGACTTTGCAACAGCAACATGGGAATCTAGAAAACAATGGAACAATGGTTTCAAAATTCTGAAGGAAAATACATTACGGTTTGGAATTCTATGTGTGTGTATCCCAACAATCAAGAGTGAGAGAAGAAAGGCTTCCTATACTCTTATACTTTAACCTCTTAGCTACTTTTCTTAGGTGTAAGAGAATTTTTAAGATAAAAATTTTCACTTTGTATATACATTTTTCATGAAGCTACTGGAAGACATGATTACCAGAACAAATGAATACAAGAAAAGATAAAAAGACAAGAAATGCAGGAATCAGGAGATCCGATGCAAAGGAGAGGCAGTGGGATTATCTAGGAAGAGGTAAAAAGACACCCCAGGACGAACAGAAAGAAGTCCAGGGCAGAGCTGGAACACACAAAATTCTCTAAGAGATATCTCTCAGAAGTTGCACGTTAACAGGATACTTGAGTGTTTAGTATTTATAGGAGATTGATACTCACGGAAGACAGTATGGGGATGAATTAGTGAAAAGTAGTAGAAAACAAAGCATAAAAATCAAAATATTCATTAATTCTCAAGAAAGAAAGTTTCACGAGGAAAGAAAGAGCAGCAAATGACTCACCTGTTGGGACAGACAGAAGTCATTAAGACAATATAAACTCTGAAGATTAATATCAGTAAAAGGTAGGTTAGAACAATATTGGAAATACTGGGGAAGAGAGAAGTCTGGGCTCTGGGTGTGTATTTGGGGATGGATTGTAAAAGAATGCTCAACCCTTCGCTTTCCACATTGGAAATTCAATATACACAATATACATAATATCCAAAACCTCCCCCACCCCCCAAAACCAAGTAGATGCTAAAACATTTTACTTAAGAGAGCTAGAAACAAGGAGTTACCAAATATCAAAAGAAGCATCATAGCTGGAACGTGGTTGTTTTTGAGAAGCAGGAGTATGGTAAAGGGCAGGGAAACACAGCTCTATATAAGTCCTGTGAAATGATCTGACTCTTTAAACCAGGTACGTTTATTAGCTTTGACTAAAAATAAAATTAAAACTAAAAAGAACTAGAGACACTGAAATCCCTCTCACATTGTGCTCAGGAAATGATAGTTAAAATAAGTGCTTACAGTGGATGTGTACACTCTTGAATATTGCACATCCTTCTAATAGGTTTTGGCTTCTTGTTGACCTCGCAGAAGCTGCGGTGAACCATCTTATTATCGCTTTTCCTACGGCATCCGTATTTAGTGTACTGGAAACCTAGGAAAGGAAACACATTTCTTTGGGTTTACTCACTTATTCATCCTGCTACATATTTGGTCATTCAGTCATTCATTCAACAAATATTGACTGAGGACGCACAGGAGGCCAGGCATTGCTGTAGACACTGAAGGTCCAGAAGTCAATTAAATAAACAAAATCCTTAACTTTTCAGGGCCTACATTTAATAAAGTACAAATGATTAAATATAGCTGTGTTCATGCGCTAATGAACTAGACCCCTGAACATACAGTCTAGTGTAAGGGACAGATCTGAACAACCACTGTGACAATACCAGGGACACAGGCTTTTAGAGGGTTATGTACATAATTTACTGTAGAAGGCGCCAAAGGAGCACAGAGGGGAGGGTCTCAACTTAGCCAGAGGAGGGGCAGGGACTGCTCACAAGATCCGCACTTCTTTTTTTTTTTTTTTTTTTTAAGATCCGCACTTGATCATCAGCATCTTCAAGTTCAAACAGTGTTGGGTAAAGGGAAGGAAGCAGAAAAATACTCCAAGCGAAGGAAAGGACACGTTAAAAATGGCAGGTCTGTTTGAATGGCTGAAGTTTCCTGTGTGAAGGGGATAGGAGATAGGAAAGAATCTAATCCTAAAAGCCTCAAGTGCCAGACTAGTATTTGGACTTTTTATCTTGGCAGTCACAGGGAGTTTTTGAAGGTCTCCCCACTCACCAACCCTGACATCTGTAAATAATTAATTAATTAATTAAATTTAAAAAAAAATTCCAAACCTACAAAAATGTTGTAAGGAAAGCACAATGAACATTGTTATGCCTTGCGTCTAAATTAACCTTGTATTACGTGTCACTATATTTGAGGTGCATACGTATATATTTTTACATATATAATAGCTTAATTATAATATGCAATATATATAATATACATAAAATTTTGCCAAACCCTTTGAGAGTAAGTTGCTGGTATCCTGATCCTTCACTTGTAAATACTTCGGCATACTGCCCGTAACAAGTACATCTCCTACATAATTCTTTCTTTTTTTTTTTTTTAAAGATTTATTTATTTATTTTTATTTGAGAGAGAGAGAATGAGAGAGAGCGAGTACATGAGAAGGGGGAGGGTCAGAGGGAGAAGCAGACCCCCTGCTGAGCAGGGAGCCTGATGCGGGACTCGATCCCGGGACTCCAGGATCATGACCTGAGCCGAAGGCAGTCGCTTAACCAACTGAGCCACCCAGGCGCCCTCTCCTACATAATTCTTAAAACCAGAATATTTAACACAGATATAGTACTATTATCTAATATACAGACCAAATTCAAAATTTGCCAGTTTCCCCTATCATGTTCTTCATAGCAATGTTTTCCCAATCAAGGATTATGCAGTGCATTTAGCTGTCATGGAATTAAGCAGGAATAGTTTCTGAGCCTCTTTTTATCTTGGATATTTTTGAGATGTACAGGCCATTTGTTTTGTAAAATGCCCCACAATTGAGGTTTATTTAATTGCCTCCTAGTGATTAGATTCAGGTCAAAAACGCTTTTGACAAGAATACTACATAAATGATTCTATGTCTTCAGGACAACACATTAGGAGGCTACAAGATTTAAATCAGACAAATACTATAACTACTCATTCGGTCATTCATTCAGTCATTCATTCAAGATTACCCTGGAAATAAAGGAAGAGAAGAAAATCAAATTAGCTGACTAGTTAAAAGACTTTTGCAATAATCTTCCCTTCCAAAATCATGAAGGAAACCTGGTGAGGAAGTAACAGATGTGGTAGATATTAAAAAGGTGTGTCTGACAAACCTTGTAACCAAGTAGATGCTGAGGGAGCAGCAAAAGAGAAGATTCAAATTAAACTTGCATTTTGTAATGGATTAAGTGTCATTTTAAATAACTAAAAGCATTTTATGTCCCGTCCACCTCAAAAAAAAAAAAAAAAGGCCCCTTTAAAAACACATCCTTGGGGCACCCGGGTGGCTCAGTCAGTTAAGCGTCTGCCTTCCACTCAGGTCATGATCCCAGGGTCCTGGGATAGAGTCCTGCATCAGGTTCCCTGCTCAGCGGAGAGCCTGCTTCTCCCTTTCCCTCTGCCCCGCCCCTGCTTGTGCTCTCTCTCTCTCTCGGTCAAATAAATAAAATGTTTAAATAAATAAATAAATAAATAAATAAATAAATAATACATCCTTGAATTTAGAATTATAAAATAAATGGTTGATGCATGCATTCCCTACTCTGAATAATTTTTTTGTTCTCAGTTACTCAGCATCATGACTCAGCCCTTTGCTTTCTCCTGCCTATTGAGGAAATTCCCTCTAGACCAGCTCAGTCCTGGAGTGTTTATTGTTCAGAAGCAGAGGAATGGATGAAGTGAGAAACTGAAAAACTCTGCAAACGGCTTAATGGGATTTACTGGAGAAAGGGCAGAGAGGCAGCACAATGGAGTAAGAGCGTGTAGCCAGAAGCCAGACTACCTGGGTCTGTATCTTAGGGTCTGGGCAAACTACTCCTCCCTGTCCTTCAGTTTTCCAATCACTACAACAGAGATAATCATAGTGCTGACCTCACAGAGCCATTTTGAGTATTCATGCACTAATATAGAGAACATTTAAAACATTTAAAGCAGTACCTGCTACCTGGTACAACTAATAGCTCTTTTATTACTAACACTGATAGAAAAGAAATGCACAGGTATGGAAAGCAAAAGTGGAAAAGAAGAATAAAGGCCAGAACCACAGGACACTGCATTTGGGAGAGTATGGGAAAAGTAAAGTCATTAAAGGTACCACCATATGAATATGAGGGAAAAGGGCAAGAGGATTTTAAGAAGGTTTACCGTTGTTAGGAACAGACTCCCATCCTTTGTAGATTCAGGGATTTCAGTAAAAATGCTTTGTACTTATGTTTTGGTTGTTATGTTTGGTATTTCTCAGATTATGGCCTCAATTAGAGGCAATCTTTAAGGGAAAAGCACCATAACTGGCCTTCTATGAATTACACTGAACGTACTAAATGGGTTCAATTGTTACCTCCACCACAGGGTTTGGAACACTGAGACCAGCTCTTCAAAGCCCACTCAAAAGTATCTAATTCTTCTTGGATGACATTGTTGCTGCTGATTGTAGGTGCAGAATCTTCATGAATGATGTACTTATATGTCAGGCTGGAGTGGGTATCGTTCTCCTGAGGGATGATCTAATGGATACGTGAAATAGATAGGTAAGTCACCTGAAGGGGTTTTACATTTTCAATAAAAATTATAACTATTTCAGAACAGTTGTCCTATTAAAGCTGGAAAACTTTCAAGCAGTTTCTAAAAATATAATGTTTCTGTTTCTATCAACTAAAGTACAAGGATGCTCTGTTTAAGAAAAAAAAAATGCAAACATATAAAACTTTGACCATAAAAAATATGAAAAATAGAGTTATAAGAGTTTATATAATAAAAATAATACATTTTCAATGAGATTCACTGTGGATTTCCTTAAGTTATATATCTCCCTACTGCATTTGAAAATTATTCTTTAAAATAACTGTTTTGTCATAATGACAAAGATAATAATGTTCCCTCCAGAAAATGTACACATTATGGAGAAATACAAAGAAAATGAAAATTGTCCATGATTCTACTAAACCAGAGAAAACCAAAGTCACTTCTAAAATGAAACTTTTAGAAATAGCTTTTGTTTGAGAAATCGAGCAATATTGAACCCACTAGGATGAAGGATTTGGTTATCTGGGTTCTTTTCTCTGTTTTTCCCTTAGTTGTTTTTAAAACAACATTACAAACCAAGCATTGACCCTTACACTCTAGCCAGATGCCTACAGCTTCCAGCCCCAGACAGCTATTGCCATGCTCTTGGGCTCCCAGCCTGAGGTTCCAGCCCTTTAGAGAGGAAAAGAAAGGTCATGGTGATACAGCAGTGCTTGTCCACAACCCCACTGTCCTAGCTACAAATCTCCTCCTTGTATCTCTAGCTCACGTTGTTCCCTGCGGGCGCCCGGCTATCAATGGACAAAGCCCTGAGGTAGGCTAGCATGGCGGTTAACCGCAGGGCTCTGAGGCCAGACCCCTGGGCCACCAGAAAAGACTGCAGTGTAATTATGGGAGTGAAACGGACCTTCTGAGCTCCAGCCATTCAAACTTAATAAAATTTTGATTAGTGTATATTTTTGCTATAAAGTTATATAACCTATGAAACAGAATGATAGAAATAAACGCACAGAAACATGAATAATTTTTGACATAGATGAAAAGATACCTTAATGGAAAAAAAGACCTTTTTTTTTCAACAAATGGTACCAGAACAAGTCATCGTGGTGGCTTTAAAAATGTGTCCACAAACCCTTTGATATTTTCCCTCTCAATGAGTAGGGCTTAATTCCTCTCCCCTTCAGTGTGGTCTGGACTCAGTGACTTGCTTCCAGCAAACAGACAACGGCGGCATGGATGGGATGTTACTCCCAAGATTCGGTTTAAAAAGACGGTCTCCGTCTTGGCTGCACTCTGTCACTTGGATCACTCATTCCAGTGGAAGCCAGCTGTCATGTGATAAGGACCCTTATGGAGTCTAAGGAGAAGCCCATGTAGTGAAGAATGCAGGCCCACCAGCTACCACATGGGAAAGCTTAGAGGCAATCTTCTGAGGCCTTCCAACAGCCCTGTGATTGAGCAGGGAAGCAGATGTCCCCGCTGGAGCCTTGGGGAGACCAGCCACAGTTACCGGTGACCTCATGAGATGCCCTGAGCCACAGCTAGCCATTTCAGCAGCTCCCAGTGGCCTGACCCACAGAGGCTATGAGATAATAAATGCCGGTTTGTGTTTAGCTAAGATATTCAGGGTGATTTGTTATGAAGCAATAGGTAATATAGACATCCACGTGCAAAAATAAGAACCTGACACATCACACAAAATTTATATAAAAATCAACTCAAAATGTAAAATATAAAACTATAAAACTTTTAGCAAAAAATAAGAAAATGCTCTAACACTGGATTAGGCAGAAATACACACATCACACCAGAATCTTGATCCATAAAAGAAAAAAAACTGATAAATTAGACTTCAGGATGCTTAAAATATTTTGCTCTGTGAAAGACACTATTAAGAGAACAAAAAGAAACTATAGAAGAAAATATTTGACAAACCATATATTTCATAAAGGACATATCAAGTATATATAAAGAACTCTTAAAACTCAACAAAAAAGATAAAACAACCTAGTTTATGACTAACATAACATAATAAAGTAAATTTTAAAAAAAAAAAACCTATTTTAACAATGGGCAAAAGATTTGGACAGACACTTTGCCAAATAATTTTCAAAGAAAGAAAAAACATCCTTGGGATTGAGTGGGGATATTTGGTTTTAAATTAGGATAATATTTTTTATAGAAAATTTGATAAATTACATACAGAATCCAATAATATTTTTCAAACCAGGTAGATGTCTTCTGCTTTCATCCATGAGGGAGTAATAGAGTTGCCTTGCTGATATTAAAAGCAATAAAACTGGACAGAACAGATGAGGGAACTTTTTTGGGGGGAGGGCAATGAATAATACAGCGAAGAACAGTGATGCTGTGAGAAAGAGAAATAGGCCAGGTCCTGGCTTCCTGACAGGGTCAGGTTGTGGGCCCTGCACAGGGAGCATGAGCCTAAGCCAAGACAGCAGTCTCAAGTAGCTGAGGAGATGGAGAGTGGGGTTTGGAACTTGTAGGCAGGGCCCTAAAGAAGAAGGGGCTGCACAGAGGGATGACCCAGAAGCTGCATGCATCCGAGATGGAAGGCTGGTCTGTGCATGCCCAGGCCAAGACACCATGATGTCTACTGGCGAGGAGCTGCTGTGGGGCTGGGAGCGGGACAGAGACACCCAAGGTCAGGTGGCGCTAGGGAGATAAGAGTTCTTATCTAGCCAGATGAAGAGGCCTCGCTAACACTTCAGGTATTCAGCTAAAGCATCAAAAAGGCCATGCTATAAGAATAAGGACAAACTTGAAACAGATCAGCCCTAACAAAGAAAAAATCAGGCTTCACAGATCAGGAGGAAATGACAGCCAGAACAAAACCCCACAGCCTGAAAAGAAGGCAACCAAATGCCCTACAACTTACCAACTATATAATTGGTATACACTTAACTGTAATTCCAGTATACATTTAAAAAATTGTAAGAAGCAGGAAAATGTGACTCATAATCCAGAAAAAAAAAAAAAAGCAGCCCATAGAAACAGACAACATGAAGACACAGGACTTAAAGGAAACGTTAGACATAATGAGTGAAATATATGGAAATCTCAGCATAGGAATGGAAATGATATTTTTTTATTTAAAAAAAAAAAAAAGGACCAAATGGAAATTCTGGAAAAGAAAAGAACACCATCTGACATGAAAAATTTACCGGATGGGCTCAACAACAGATTGGAGACCACATAAGACACAGTCAGTGAACTTGAACACGGCTCAATAGCAATTATCCAATCTGAAGAGCAGAGAAAAAGTGATTACAGAAGGATGGACAAAGCCCAGGAGGCGTATGGAACAATTTCAACTGGGTGAGCATACGTGTAAACGAGTCCTAGGAGTGAGAGATGGGGGAAAAACGCACTTGGCACACAATGGAAAATCAACACAAATTTGGTAAAAAAATAACAACAACAACAACAAAAACCCATCAACTTAGATCACCAAGATGCTTGGTGAACCCCAAGCCAGATACAAAACCTCACAAACTAAGCATATCACAGTCAAACGGCTTAACAAACAATGAAACAAAACAAAAAGATGAAGAGAAAATCTTTAAAAAGCAGTCAGGGAAAAAGGAAACCTCACATGCAGAGCAGCAATATGAACGGGGCTGACTTCTCATCATAAATGATGGGTTGTAGAAGATGAACGTTATGAGTCAAAAGAGAGCTCCTGTATGTTGGCCCCTACTTTGTTTGTTTCTTCACAACAGGCTGAGAGCCTTTAGCTCAGAAGCCCACTAGCACCAAACTCAAGTTTTACATACCCAGTTCTTTTCAGTGCAGCCCAAACAGGCATATTTTTAGCCAGTTAGAACCTGCTTGCTTAGCAAACCCCGATGAAACTGCACTGGCCATTTGCTAACTATAGAGGAGTCTGTGGCTGTAAGGATCCCAAGCTGCTGCTGTTCTTAGGAGACTCCCCACTGTGCTGCTGATTGACATCACCTCACCAAAAACACCCCCTCTCCAATCCCTTCTGTCCCAGGAGTTCCCTTCTGCTTCTCTCCAGTAGCCGACCTGCAAACCTGTGAAGGGGTCGATAAAGCCAGTGCGCGCTACTGCCACCTTGTAGTTACATCTACCTCCCTAATCGGCCCTCCAATTCCTTCAACTCCCCTCTAACAGCATAAGAACATCTTTAAAGTGCTAACACACGCACGCACAGCACTAGCTACCAAAATGTTTATACCTGCTGAAGATATCTTCTAAGAATGAGGGTGAAATACAGATATTTTCAGATAAGTGGAAGTTGAGAGAATTCTTTGCTAGCATGCACACCCACACCGCAAGAAATGCTAAAGGATGTTCTCTATATCAAAGGTAAATGATACTAGATGGAAAGTCAGATTTACAGGGAAGAAGGAAGAGCATCAGAAATGGCAAATATGTGGGTAAATATAAAAATCTATCTCATCTTTTGTCTCTAACAGATAATGGATTACTAGAAGTCAGGAATCATAATACTATGTTATTGGGTTTATAATGTACATATAATAAAATATATGAAAAAGTTGCACAAAGAGTAGAGAGGGGCAGATAAAAAACAAGCAACTGACTATTCAATGTTCAAGGTAAAAGTGTTTTCAGATAAATTAATTATAAAATTACAGAACCAACTACATAGTAAGCCTGTAATACCACATACCAAAACAATAACAGGATCGTGTAAAGGTCCATCTGTGTGAAGAGTTTCAATGTCATCTTCAATGTTATAGTCCCATTCCACACCAAGATCTATGAAGGTCCGCGACTTGGCTTCCTCCCCTTTGCCATTTAAAATATAGTGGCCTGTAGCCTGGTTCTTAATAGCTAGAGGGAGAAAAATGGGTAACCGGCATACATTTTATTTGATCATATTACAGGTTTGATGACCCATAGCAAGTCTATCCCTTTCTATAAATGAAAGACTGTTTATTAGCATCAAAGCAATCAAAATGAGTGTTAGTTCTGATAGGACTCCCATTCCCTTCATTCAGCCTTCAAAATCCTCAAGCAGCACTACTAACTAGTCAAAATAGCAAGATGGTTAAATAAGGGAGATAAAAATTGACAAATATTCCCATTTGAAAGGACTGTCAAAGAGGTTAACAGTTTCTAACCCATTCCTGTATATTTCCTCAGAAAGCTGGGAATATTTAGAAAATTATGGATACTTCTATAATCATTTGTGCTAAGATAGCACATAACATAATGTGCTACTGTGTTATCTCTTTCAAGTTAGTAAAAGTATTGATAGGTATCCAACATAGTTGAACTAATTTTTAGACCAACAATTAGTTCTTATGTTTGTGAAATTCCAAGGCCACGTCCCTACTTAATATGGCTAGAAAAAGCTGTTTATTGGTGATAGAGTTCTTAATGCATTATTGATCTACTATGTATTATTTAAAAATGCTTTCTCTAATAGATAAAACATAACAAATTGGATTTCAAAGTTTGGAGGTATTTACCAGCATATAATAAGTTAGAAAATAAAATTTCATGTTATTACCATTCCTGAAAATGTGTAGATAACATGAGTAATTTTAGTTAAATACATTTATTCCTCTTGAGTTTTTTTAAACTATCTCATGTTTCCAAAGTTAATAATCTGAGTTCTAGGACAAAAAAATAAGAGAATATGAATTATTGGAAAAAGAACTATGGCTGACTGCTAGATCATTAAGGAATCTAGTAGTGAATTTAATTTAAATACTAAAAAAATTCTATGAAACACCATAAAACAATTCATTTTTAAGTCACACATTTAAAAGAAAAGCAATTTGAGACAAATTTTCATGGGGTTGACAGATGATGCTTTCATTTCAGAGAACTTCCTCGTGCTTTAATAGGTCAGGGAATATGTGGAAGTCATGCTTACATTTGTACATACACTTTGAAAACAAACCCCTTTAGGATAACATTTTTATGTGATCCTCTCGTAAAGGAGGAAAAGAATTCTAAACAGCCATGCAAATGGATCCACATGTGCCAGGCAGAAACTAGACACATCACAGATACTCACTTTTCAGTAAAAGAACTTAAAATGCAATAAAAGTAAGGAGAGGCATATAGTATGGCATCAACCACAATATCAGAACTAATTTGCCAACATAACTATGGCAAATTTTTTTTCTGATATTCTTCCTTAATTTAGTGCATTTTATTAACATATTTATTTTCCTCATTCCCTAATACAGAGCAAAAATGCATAATAAACTTGTTAAATAACCTTTCTTCATATAAATAATGAACCAACCCAGGTTTCACCAAAAATTAAAGCTCTATTTTTGAATATTTTTTGTTTTAAAGAAAGAAGAGTGGGGAGAAATGACCAACAAAAACCACATAGTAATGATTTATATGGAATTCTGAATCTTGCATATCTATGTATACATACACATATACATACAGATACACATACATCTACACACACATATATATCTCTCTCTATATGATTTCTTTGACATTTCTCTAAGTGCATGCTAAAGCAAAGCCAGCAGACAGAAACACTTACCAAGAATATGAGGAGAAGACTCGTCTTCTTGGATTAACACATGTCTAGCACCCGGGGGTATATCAAACATCTTAAGGTACCCTTTGCATGTGTAGTAAATATTGGAGAAAGCAAAGAAGAAAACAAAAGCAACAACCATGGTTAGCCGAGCATGAAATTCTTACTGCTTCTGCATGCAGAAGAGGGCATCCATAAACTCAAAGAAGCAGTTTCAGGAATGAACTTCAAAGCATTGGTAGTTTTTGTGACAACTGGCATGAGATTAGAGGAAACCCTTTTTTTTTTTTTGGTATTAAGAGGGGGGAGTTAATCTTGTTTCTAACCTATCAGTCATTTATCTTGTATTGAACTGTGAATTGTGTCAACAACAATTCAGGCAAATTTCCTGTGTCCTTCTATGTGAGTTTAGGTTTTCTGTTGTTGTTGTCATTGCTGTTAAATTTATAAATTTATTTATTTATTTATTTATTTATTTTTGAGTATAGATGACACACATAATGTTACATTAGTTTCAGGTGCACAAAATGGTACAACATAGTGATTTGTCAAGTTTATGTTTTCTAAACCACTCTTTTGAAGTGGGGCCAGTTTTTAGCATACTTAGTTGGTGAACTTCTTGAGATATTTTATCTGTCTGTATATTATTTTAAAAGCTTCAGGGCAAGTATAGATAGCTAAACTTCTAATTAATGAAATATCTTCATATTGAAAGCCTGCTTTGTTCTAAAGAGATTTCAAAAGAAGGATCAGTGAGTGGCTTTCATTTTTCTTGTGATCAGCCATTAATTTTAAAGCCTTGAACAAGTTTTATTATGGGAAAGTTTTAAAGTATATTTTTTAGATTTGACCAAACCATTTGGTTGGAAAATGCCGCAAGTTATGTCTTACTTACATTGCCTTAAAAATGTGCCCTAAACTCAATCTTCTAATCTAGAAATCATGAAATCAATATGCTTCATGGATTGCCTTGGGTTATAAAATCTTATATCAATCCTATTACAGTCAATGTCATATAAAACAAATCTTAGTATTATCACATGTCCTAAAAATTATCTTAAGATCACTTAGAATTAAGATCCTAACTTTAAATCAACAATAGGACAAGTAGAAATCAAGACGTTTTATCCAGGAAATATAAATTAATATAGGGAGATGCTGCAACTGACACCTTAGATATGAAACATTCAATTCACATACTACAGGATGAGTCTGACAGAAATTCAGTTATAAATACACAATTGTCAGTGTTCTCAGAAAGAAGTATGTTTGTCATTTCCATATGGACAATAACTATCTACCTGTGGGTAGATTTACTCAACTTTTTCCCAATATTTATTACTGTCTTAACTCAATGGCATAGTCATTTTGGGGTCAGGGTTTTCAGTACCTGAATCTGGGTAAAGTCGAGTCCGGAAACCGTAGCATGTTTGTCTGAGTGTGCAATGGCTAGACGGAACATGTTTAAGATGCCGACCAAGCACAGCAAAACAGCTTGATGCCATTTATGGATGCCCATCTTTCTGCAGTTTGCTACAACTTACCCAGTACATTTTTAGCTTCCCTTGTTTCAGCAAGAGAAATATTACGAGCTCCTTTGGGTAAAGTGAAGGCACCTCTTGTCTTCCCTTAAATAGAATGTTTTTAATTAGTGAAGGTTTCATGTTTATCAAAGTCTTGCTGGTTCATTGACTATACTATAAGCTATGTAGATTCTATTAGGTAAGATATCAAATAATTTGGTAATTTTATGTGTTGAAGTCAAAATGCATTTTTAATAGTTAGCTAATGCCAATAAAAAGTTAATAGTCAATGAAAGTAAGACTAAGAATGAATGAGAAATGATAAAGGTGATTGGAAGTTGAATACTTGCAGATTTCATTTTCCAGCAACTTGAATTCTGTATGGCACCTCTTGCTTAAATGTTTCCCTGTTGGAAAACGTTAATTAGTCTATTGAGTGACTATGATAACACCAGTGCAGAGAAATGGGTGTTAGATTATCTTTGAACAGTCTGAATCTGTACGACTGAGGAAACCTTTCTTCTCTCCTCACCTTGAGTCGCAGGTTTAGTCTAATTTTTGGCATATCTGAAAAAAACGCACCACGACCTCACACCACAGAATGGATGATTAATGGATGGATGATTAATGGCAAAAACTTTTTTCTTTACATTAATTTACTCTGGAAATAAAATAATATGAGTGATTTTATACCAAAAAGAATAATATAGCTGCCATAGAGAAAGCACAGTTAATTGCTTCACAATAAGATGAAGAAAATTACATGTTACTCCACCAAAACCATAATATATCATTTTAATTCTGTGAATGTTCTTAAAGTAATATAATCAGCCAGAAATGGCAATATTTGTTTTTTAACCATTTAACTATTAAATGATCACAAAGGAATATCAAAACCATCAGTAATGAAAGATACTTTGGAGTGACCCTGCCCCACTCAATGTGTCAAAGAGCAAAACTGGTCTGTGTGCACTTGGCTTGCACTGGGCTAGCTGAGGTCTAATGAGAGTACAAAGAACTTAGAGAATTATTCCATTTGGATGAAGACTACCTTTTTTATACTTTCTCTTCTCCTAAAAGGGAAAATCACCGCCATGACAATGTGCTCAAAGTAAACCAGTTTCTTATCTTTATTTTTGTTTTGTCTTATTTTATCATTCTACCAGAGACTATACCAACTGAGTGGGGATGATGAAAAAGAAGCTTCTCAAGGGAAGCACCACATCAAATTTATCTTTAAATGTTGAATTCCCAGAGACATTTTCCCCATAAATGCTTATTGAATAACTGAATAACATTTGTCACAAACTAAAAAAGATCATCCAGTAATAAATGTTTGTATCCAAATCTCTTATGAAAATTCCAGTGAATGATTATGAAACGACTCATAATTTTACATATTATTTCTGCTTTTTTTTTTTTTTCCATCTGCTGAAACTTTATTGTATGCCTAAGTCCAGGTCACTGACTCTAAAATAAACACTAACATTCACACACACAAACAGTCATACCTCAGGGTTGTTTTTGGTTGTGTACCTAATTTTGTGTAATATAAAACTTTTAAAATCATGTGAAATATGGAGTCTAGATTTGTAGATTTATAAATAGGATGAACTTGTTCACCTTTAAAATAAAAGAAGCAAAGCTCATGCAATATTTTAAAAGTTGTATTTAAAATTTTGTGATTTTTGGGGCACCTGGGTGGCTCAGTCGTTAAGCGTCTGCCTTCAGCTCAGGTCATGATCCCAGGGTCCTGGGATCGAGTCCCACATCGGGCTCCCTGCTTGGCGGGAAGCCTGCTTCTCCCTCTCCCACTCCCCCTGCTTGTGTTCCTGCTCTCACTCTCTCTCTCTCTCTGTCAAATAAATAAAATCTTTAAAAAAAATTAAAATAAAATTTTGTGATATTTTTTGTAACTTCTGATCAACAATTTATGTGAACAGAAAATTCAAAATAAGCCTCAATTCTAATAATTAGGTCTAATGTATTTTATTAAAAACACAAAATAGTTTTTGTGTTTATTAAAAACACAAAATAGCCTGGGTGGCTCAGTCAGTGAAGCGTCCGACTCTTGATTTCTGCTCAGGTCATGATCTCAGAGGTCGGGAGATCAAGCCTTAAGCTGGGCTCCACACTGAGTGCGGAGTCTGCCTGGGATTCTCTCTCCTTGCTCCTCTGCCCCTTCCCGCTTGCACACACGCTCTCTCATTCTCTCTCAAAATAAATAAATAAATAAATAAATAAATAAATAAATAAATAAATAAACAAACAAATAAATAAAAACACAAAATAAAACAAAACACATATTTTAGCTAACTACTATAATTGAAATTGATTTTATTTGTTCCTTATTTAAGTAGACACTCTTTCATCATGGATGCCGTGGAGTATGAATTCAGTCCAAGTGTTTTTATTTTTGTTTTTGGTTTTTAGTTCCTTAAAAGATAATCTGAGGGTGTCTGCGTGGCTCAGTCGGTTAACCGTCTGCCTTCAGCTCAGGTCATGATGCTGGGGCCCCACGTCGGGCTCCCCAAACAGTGGGGAGTCTGCTTCGTTCTCCCCAAAGACCGGGGAGTTTGCTTCTCCCTCTCTCTCTGACTCTCCCCCTGCTGATGCTCGTTCTGTCTCTCACGTGCTTGCTGTCCCTCTCTCTCTCAAATATATAAATAAAATCTTAAAAAAAAAAAGAAAAGAAAAGGTAATCTGAATAAAAATAAATCAGCAGCTAATTTTTTGTTATGTTTATAGGGAAAATGCTACATTCCTAAAAGAAGTCTCAAAAAGTATAAATCATGGAGAAGGATACCAAATTCATGAGAGACCTCATCTTACCAAGCTTCTTGGGAGTTCTGGTAAATGTCCCCTTTACGGTTCGACAATGAGAATTATCTCCTCCACAGACGCCACACTTATCCTCAACCTTAGTAGAACCGATTTCTTTATCACAGCCCACTTTCTGGAAAGAGAAGATGTTAAACGTGACTAATTTCAATGTGCCAAGTGAAGGTCAGCATCCTAGACAAGGACAAACCATTTGTTTTACCGTGAGCCCACAGTGACACAGTCTGACCAAACCTTGACTCAAGCTCTGATTTTTTTAATGCCTCAATCTTTTTGAAGAGCTACTATGAAGTCAGATGACTTGTACTCTAGGTTAAAATCTACTCTAGGATACATTCCCCCAGTCTAATTAAGTATTTACCCCATCACACATAGTCATGACCCATCGAACATTTATTAAGCGCAGATATTGTCGTTGATGCTGAAAAGACAAAAAGACAAAAAGTGTTTTTCCCCTGTTGCTCTCCTATTTGGAAAGATGAGTAATAAAACAATGAGCTGGGCATTAGCATAAGCTTTATAAGCTGGCTAGGGATGCAAAACAGAACTTTACAAAAAATAAAATAAGACAGGGCGCCTGGGTGGCTCAGTCAGTTAAGCGTCTGCCTTCGGCTCAGGTCATGATCCCAGGGTCCTGGGATCAAGTCCTGCATCAGGGTCCCTGCTCTCTGGGGAGCCTGCTTCTTCCTGTCCTCCCCACTTGTGCTCTCTCTCTATCTCTGTCTCTGTCTCTCAAATAAATGAAATCTAAAACTAACTAACTAACTAAATAAATAAATAAATAAAATAAAGACGAAATCAGAGAGGGAGACAAACTGTAAGAGACTCTTAACTCTAGGAAGCAAGCTGAGGGTTGTTGGAGGGGAGGGGGATGAAGGGATGGGGTAACTGGGTGATGGAAACATGATGTAATGAGCACTGTGTATTATATAAGACTGATGAATCACTAAACTCTACCTCTGAAACTAAAAACAAACCAAACCAACCAACAAACAAAAAAAACTTTATGAAGTGCTGGATATTTTCATAAGACCCTGTTGAAAGGCATTTCAAGAATGCAGAGGGATAAAAACAGAGCCATGGAAATTGTATGCTCATGGAAAGTGGGTTCTGAGAGCAATACTGAAGCCATGTTTAAGCCAATGGAAAGTTAGTACTGTATGAGAGGGGAAGAACAGTGAAAGATTTGCAAAGCACAGGCCATGAAAGACCTCGAATATCAGGCAGAGTTTACATTTTCACAGGAACTTAACAGGGAACCACTGAAGGTTTTCTGAACTGGGGCAGGCCCCTTCATGGAAATCAGTGCAGGGTAAGGGGACATGATAGGCCACTGCACTCAGAAGTTTGGAATGAAAATGGGCAGAGACAATGATGACCACACGTTTGATGTACTGTGGGAGGGTGAGAGATGGACAAAAGTCAGATTCTACTTTCAGGGGAAATTCATTTCAAATGTGAGGTCTCTGCATTCTTGAGATTCATTCCTACAACACTTTGGTTGTGCTGAAGTGAAGAAGAAACAGAAGTAACATGTTCAGTTAATAAGGCTGATTTCATATCAATTCAACTTGGGAACACGAACAAGAAAGTCAACTGCAGTTTTTTAAAAAAGAGTCTCAGTGGGGCAAAATCCGGTTTTTGCATCTTCGCCTCTTTTGTTCTGAGGTAGAATTCAGTGTTTAAACTTAGAATCAATTGGAAAGTAAGAGAGAGAGCAGGAGAGACAGAGGGAGAGAGAGAATTTCTATTATTTTTTAAATAAAAGATAAAATACATTTAGCATTGCGTTTTTGAAAACAGCTCTGTAGTGGAAAAGCAGATGACTACTAGTAAAATACTCAAAGCAAAAAAAGGCACTATCCATCCTGAGCTGTTGTATCCCCCAGCCAGAGGGATCAGAGTAATTTAGAAAAGGCAACTGGCTGGAAGAGGACGAAACCATATTTACATCTCAATTCTGCCAATAGCCAAACATTGATGTGAAAAGTGAAAATTTCTACCGCGTTTGGTTTAGGTCTCCTCAGATACTCCTAGATTCTCATTTTAATGTGATTTTACAGATAAGACAGGGTTAAGATCTTTTGAAAACATGCAGGTGAACGATAGTCAAAGCAGAATTGCACAACGGCATAGGAAGCTTCCAGGGATGCCATGTGAACTCACCACACACTCTCCCCGCACACATATGCTGTATGGATCTTTGTAAGAACAGTGCGTTCCATCCAGCACCAGCTGTTTCATATACACCACATCTCCAGTCTCTCTGGATTGGCAGTAAAGGTGGCATCTTTTCTTGGCTGCAAAGATGGAGGATTAAATCGACCATGTACATAAAGTGACATATTTGCACACTACAGTGATTTTATTTTTAAAATAGAGTTTCCGCACGATGTCCTGAAAACAAAACACTGTATGAATAAATAAAAGAGTAGCAGAAAAGGATACGTATTTGGCTTACGACTGATCTAAACTGTGAAACTTCTGAGAGTGAAAAGTGGCTGAATTAATAACTGCATAGGAATGACTGGGACTGTCCCAGGCAAAGCAGGTTGGACGTCAACCATGGATTTAACCACAGCTCTTCAATAAACTTTAATTCAGAACCAATTTCATTTTAGTGACACTTAGAGAATTAAAGGCGTTTCTCTTTTGTTTGAACCGATGACCTAGTATGGTTTATGCCTCATGTAGGATCTCATTAGTCAAATGTAATATAATTTACATGACTCGCTTCACTGAAACAGATAAAAAATAATGCATTTCTTCTTAATGCACTGCAACTTGGAATTCCTATGTGGATGCAATCTTTCCTTTAAAACAGCTTTTAAACTGAACTCGGCAGTGTATTGAGTCATATGGTAACCATGTCACTATTTTGTTTCAGCCACCCAACTACGAAGTACGGTGAGACATTCCTATTAAAGAGGGCACGTTCTGCATGGAGCACTGGGTGTTATATGCAAACAATGAATCATGGAACACTACATCAAAAACTAATGATGTAATGTATGGTGATTAACATAACATAATAAAAAAAAAAATCAGAGGTATGAAGTGAAATGCTAACAGGGAATCCCCAAGTGTCTTTTCTAATAACTAGTGTCACGGTACAAAAGTAAAAGGTTATGATGTGCCTTTTGTTCTCAAGTCATGATCTTCTTCTTGTTTCTCAGTTGTAAAGGAAATGTGGTGTTTCCCTGGTTATTTGGAAAGGAAAGATCACAGTATTCCAGAGCGTTTCCTAGTAGAAGGATGTCAGTCAAACGAGGAAACACAACATGTCTCCACGGGTCTTTTCAGCAGTGACAGTGGGAATGCCGTTGGCCAGGAACTAGCCCACAGTCCTCACCTCTCTAGAGAAAGGACTAAGCTAGCCTTGTTCTTGGAAACCCAGCAGGACTTACCCCTATAAACACCAAGTTTTCTAATTTACCAAGTAAGGACCCAGAGTCCCAGGGATTGGTGTTGACAAGGCTTACACTCTGAGTCCCCATCCACACAGCGGGAAAGACAGCGAGCATCTACTCACAGTCGGGATGTTCATATGGCAACCAGTGGTGCTTGATATTCTGGAATTCGAAGTGGGAGTTACGCTGTTGGCACTGCTGCGCTCTGAAGTCCTCAAAGTGTTTTGGGCATTCTTCTGTATTACAAAGCTGGTACTCAAAATTAACACCAGGACAATCCTGACCACCGTTGATGGGCCTAAAAGAAAAGACAACATTGAAAAAGGCCCTTTGGCTCTGGGCCAGCAGTTGAAGCTTGCAGACACAGTGCTGGAAGGCAGAAAGCCAGAGCTGCTGAGCTGCGGGCACAAAGGGAATGAACTCATGCTTCCTAATTTCCATCCCTTTCCAAAAGCACCATCCTCCCCCTATGTGTGTTTGTCTGGGACGGGGTGGGGAAGTGGGGACCAAAAACTCAACTTAAGTCAGCATTTCAAACAGTATATTTTGCATGCACAGTGAAATATATAAAGAAATTTTAAAAAACATATGTATGGACCAAGGAAAATTATATTTCCTCCCATGCATAAAACATGTACATGAAACCCAAAGACATTTGATCACAGCTCTATGTCTTAGTTTTCTCCTATGTAGAATGCGAAAAATAATCCCATCTTTCTTAGAGAAACATGGAGAGGACTGCATAAGTCAACATATTTAACATACTTACAACAGAGCATGGCTCATAGTGAACTTTAGCTGCCCTTATGATAATTTTTATTGTTTATATTACTCCCACTAATACTACCAGCATCTCTTCCCGTGAAAACAGGTATGTGACATTTGATATTTTTCATGAAAAACTCTCAGAACCATCCTGCTGCCAGAGACTGAAGAAGCCACTTTTCTTACATGGTAAGCCCTAGACCAGAAAGAAGGTCCTGAGTTTTTGCTGAGCACGCAAGAGGGATTCACTCTATTTAGTCTGAGTGAGTGAATAGGGAGCTGTTCCCCCAGTTCCTTGGTCTTCTTTCACCATCTTTCTGTGGTCCCGCTCGGCTGTGTTGCTCCCCTAAGCCCGGAGGGAGTGAGCCCCTGGCTGGAGCTGCTCCCGGCTCTGCCAGGCTGACACACCTGGGCTTCCCAGCGTCAGGGCCCCGGCCAGCACAGGGACGGGCCTTCCCTGCCTAGCTCCTGAAGACTTCTAAATAGCAACGGCTTCCAAAATCTCTAATCTTCGCTTGAGCCTCATCTTCACCATTGATGACTCTTCCCAAGATTGATGAATGGAGATCTATCCCAAACAGACACTTAAACCCCTAGTTTTCATGTTTTGTGTTTGACGTGTACTTCGTGAAACAGAGTATTAATAACAGAATACTGGAGTGTTTTCTGTCTATCCAAAAATAAGTAGAATTGCAGGAGCTTACTCACGTGGGATTATTACACTGGCGTGTTCTGAAACGGACACCAGTTCCGCATGTCCGGGAACAGGCGCCAAATTTGGTCCAGGATCCCCAGCTGCCATCCTGTTTTTGTTGATTAGCGTTCTTCCACATGCAGTGGCCCTTATAGCACCACTGAGGAAAATGACAAAAGGCAACTATGGAAATCATGCCCAAGCCAAAGCCCAAGTTACTACACAACCACCACCAGTTAAAGGCCTTTATTCCTTTTCTCCCCCCAGGTAAAGATGCATTTAAAATGAACCCAGCTCAATTACAACAATAAGGTACCCTACAGAGGATAATTTAGACTTGCATTTTTAAGTACAAAATGAAAAAAAAAATCACTTACTCAGACAAGTTTTTAAATGACACATTTATAGTGAATATCAAACAAAACCAGTAAGAATGATCTGAGGACCCAACTTGCATTGTAGGTACTATTCTACCCTTCAACCCTCATTAGCTAGATTACCAGGGTTTTTTAAAAAATATACGCCTTGGGCGCCTGGGTGGCTCAGTTGGTTAAGCAACTGCCTTCGGCTCAGGTCATGATCCTGGAGTCCCTGGATCGAGTCCCGCATCGGGCTCTCTGCTCGGCAGGGAGCCTGCTTCTCCTCTGACCCTCCCCCCTCTCATGTGCTCTCTCTCTCTCTCTCATTCTGTCTCAAATAAATAAATAAAATCTTAAAAAAAAAAAAAATATACGCCTTTACTTTGGAATTAATTAACATATCTGAACATATACAGTGTTCAAAACACTTAGGTATGTTTCTAAATTTTCTTTTCTTTTCTTTTTTTTTTTTTTAAAGATTTTATTTATTTGACAGCGAGAGAGGGAACACAAGCAGGGGCAGTGGGAGAGGGAGAAGCAGGCTTCCCGCCGAGCAGGGAGCCCCATGCGGGGCTCGATCCCAGGACCCTGGGATCATGACCTGAGCCTAAGGCAGACGCTTAACCATCTGAGCCACCCAGGCGCCCTGTTTCTAGATTTTCAATCACAATGATTCTGAGAGATAGATAGGTCACTTGTTATCTTTACATCTTTAGATGAGGAATATTGAGACCCAGAAATGACCATGAAGAGGACAAGACCAACTGACCAGGAAGTAATTAAGTGGGAACTAGTGAACCTTGATACTACAGAGGCGCCTAGCTTATAGTACCCAGGACAGAGCAGGTCCTCAACAGGTATTAGTTCTTTTCCCTTTCAACATTTTGACTTCCTTTTTTGTCCTACCTATAATAAAAATGTTTCTTAATACTCAGATTTGGTAAATTTAAACATAACACAAATATATTTAGAGAAATTGGATGTTCAGAGTTGATTTACAGGATATATTTTTCATAAAGCAAAAATGAATCAACTCATTGTTGCTCTTGTTTTTTCAGTCAAAAGTTTGTAAATTGAATTTTTCCAGAGCAACACACTGTATGTAATATGTTTAGCATAATACCTAACAAAGTTTAAACACCCATAATGGCAGATTTTATTTTTATTATTATTATTATCATTTTTATGCTTGTAATTCTCAGAGCAAATACAGTTCATACACATTTGAAGTAGAGCTCTAAATGGCTTTAAAAGAACTCAAAGCTACATAAATCTTCCTTGCCACTTTTAGTCCTGTCTACAATATCTTATTTCCAAACTAGTCATGGCTCTTCAATTTGAGTTCTTAACATGCCTTTGTTTTGGGTTTGGTGATCTTTCCCCTTATGAGTAGCATAGATTGGCCCCTGGCCACTTTCTGAGCATTCAATCTTGACTACACAATTTGAGATTTAAAACCTCTGGGCATCTTTCCCCAAGGAGCAAGGCCAAATCTTCTGTATAAATTCACATGACTTTATTTCTGGACAACTTTCACAAGGAGTGGGACGCCAGCAAGTAAATCAAATCCCATTAGCAGGGGCCCAGATATTCTGCTGAACTGCTGCTTCCTATTCTATCAGGAATAGCCAAACAGTGATCTCAAAGATGGTAGGTCCTAATCCCCCAAATCTGTAAATATCCTTATTTGGAAAATGGTCTTTGCAGATGTGATTTGGTTAAGGATTTTGAGATGGAGAGGTGATCCTGGATCATCCAGGTGGGCTCTAAATGCCAGCACAGCACATGTATTCCTATAGGAGAGGGGCAGAGGGAAATTTGCACACAGAAGAGAAAGGGACATTGTGGTCAGGGATGCAGAGACTGGAAGGGTGCAGCCACAAATCGAGGAATGCAGGCAGCCCCCAGAAGCTGGAAGACTCAAGAAGAGATCCTCCCCTAGAGCCTCTGGGGAGAGTATGATCCACACAACTATTCTGGCTCAGTGAAACTGATTTTGGACTTCTGGCTCCTAGAACTATAAGAGAATATCATTTCTGTTTTTTTCAGGAACCAAGGTTGTGTGTGGTAATTTGTCATAGAAGCCGTAGGAAACAATGCTAGTGCATTATCATAATGAAACCCCATACACCACGGTTGGTATAAGAAGGGCTACAGCAGGGGTCATAATTTTCCAGGTTTCTAAGGATGATTATGATGAAACCTAGATTAGATTTTCATTGTATAAATAGATATACTCACTTTTCCAGCAGCACATTCAGTCCCATCAAGTGGGGGTCCCTTTTTTGTCTTACAAAAGTAGGGATTATCAGGATGGCTACACCACAGCTGTTTACATGGGTCAAATGTTCGGAACTGGAAGAGAGAGAATCAGGATCTCAATGAAATAGAGATGGCATGTCATACCAACATATATCTGAGAGTATCTTCTAGACGCTTTCTTCATGTCATGTTCCTTGGGTATTTTAATTTTAAATTAACAGTCATAGTTGTGGCATGATAAGAAAAAAAAAAATACTGCCTAAGAATTAATTCCAAGGAAAGAATACTTTTATTCTGCTTTTCTAAAATATCAATGAGAAAAAATAATTTCTCTGCGATTCTCTGGCTGACTTCAACATTTCTGCATACCATTTCTATTTTATGGTTTTCAGACAATATGGGAATTTTAAAGAATTTGTAAATATTACGACCATTTTAAATATGAAAACTTATTAAGATGGTTTTGCCCCTCTCAAGTTATCAAAACTGCTTCTCTTTATCCCTGTAGTTATGAACTGGCCAGATTATAAATAATACTGAGCTGATTAAAAGCATAAAATATTTATAAGTCTTGCTACGTGAGATAAGGTGTCCTGGGTGTAACAAAATCTCAATACATTCATGTAGTTTATAACGTACTTTCCATATATTTAATCCTCAAAACAATCCATGACTGAGACTGTAAGTTATAAGGTAAGGCTTTGGTTACGGTTATACGTTATAAGTGAGACAGTAACAGTCAGACTAGAGTCTTAGGATTCTTATTTGTGAGAATGTTTTTGTTTTCCTAAAATACCACATTATAATATCCAAATGGATGTAGAAGCACACATATTTGTGTGTGGTCTTTGCTTGTCTGATCTCTTTGTAACTAGAAACATCTTACCATTATCTAGATTTGAAAAAAAAAAACAAATACCAGTTTATCCACATATTTATTGCTTACAGCACTAATTACCTGAATATAGCCTTATGGTCATAGCCTTTATTTTTTTTAAATTGTACTCACTTTGGACCTGGGGTTTTTTTGTTCTAATCCCTATTACTTAATGCAGAAACTGTACTTTTCCATGACACTGAGCCAAAGCTTTAGAATTCTCAGGCCGAGAGCATTAATGCAGGTAATGAGGCCCTGATAGCATGGACCTTATACACAGACCAAATGGCTGTAGACAGCTCTATACGGAAGATTGCAAACAGCAGATCAACTTTTTTTCAGTATCTTGAAATACTTAATTTTTTGCTCCAACATATAAAAAGCCCCTCCTCTCTCCTCCCCCTTTTTTTAATGAGCTACTAAAGCTCAATGTAGAAATTTCGTGAAACATAGCCCTAATGTGCACAGCCACATGGAGGACTGGCTTCACTGGACCCCATTTACCATGCGCCTGCATCGTGCTAAGCACTGTGATTACGGTATCAAATTTAATCCTGATCCCAATTCTATGAGATAAATACTATCATTATCCATATTTTACACCCAAGGAAACTAAGAGAGATTGAATAAAGTGCTCAAACTCATACCTTTAGTAAGTATGAGATCCAGATTCTGACAACCCACCCAGCCTGAGTATGAAACCCATATTCCTGACCTTCATGCTATACCATAGGACTCTCCCGTAAGAATATACGAGGATGACCCTTCCCTATGGTCACAGCTACATGAAATCCTGGCCAACAAACTGATGAAAAGCAACCAACTAAAGGCTTAGAAGTCATCTCTGAAGGTCACAAAAACTAAGGGGGCAACAGGGCATAAAGCTTTAGAGCCTGACAATCTTAGTTTCAATGTCTAGCTCCCCTATCGACCAGACGCGTGATTTAAGCAAATCGCTTAATCTCTGTAAATCTTGGCTTTTTCATGTGTAAAGTAAAAATATACCAGCTCCCATCTAGTCTGCTAAGGATTAAATAAGATAATATATTCGAAGCTCTTAGCTTCAGCACATAGTGACACAACAAACACAAAGTCATTGATCGATGCTGTTCCGCTTGCACCAGTGAGTCCATGAAGCTCACCAAACAGGAGCTATGCAAATAGATTTCAAGATGCAAAAATCTCAATTGACTGTGAGTGACATACCGCAGTGCACATTTTATAACCAACCCCAAAGTCAAAACGACATTGCTCATCCATAGAGTAATTGATTCCAGGAAGTTCTGGGAGTTTGGGCCAATCATGTTCAAAAGGGTCATCAAGGAGACAGTCATAGGAACTGTAGAAAGGAAAATATTTCATGTCGTTAAATGTTCATTTTTTTTTTAACACATCCTAATGAAAAACTATTCTTAGGTTACAGACTCTGGAATTTCATCCGATCATATAGCAAGATCACAGAGTCATACCTTTTAAGGTTTTTGGTTTCACTTCCATTCAGAAAAAGACCCATCATCCTTATTCATCCCCCAAAAGAGGCCAAACATGGCTCAGGAATACAGTAGAATTGTGACAGCCTTATATTCATGGCCCTCGCGGGACGCCCACACACTATGGTGGCACAGATCCCGGCCCCTATCCTACAGGGAATATGCGGCACTCTCTGCAGGCATCACATGACCGTCCTCTCTCTCCTCATCCCCAACTCAAGTTTGACCACCCGTCAAAGATTCCATAAGGAGTTTACTGAAAGGAGACCACAGTGAAAAATTCTCTTAAATTCTAGGCTTACGGCTTAAAATACTGTGATTACATTATGGGATCATTGTGCCAAAAGCTCTGAGTCATAAGAAAATGTTTATCATGAGCAACAATTCTCATTCACTGGGAGTTTGGTTAAGATTGAGGTCCTAAAAGACAGTTTCACGTCTGTGTTATGCTACGACATAAATGCTCTCAGGACACGCAGAAGGGGACGTACTGGATGTATCTCTTCAGTTCTTGGCCACTGCACCGGGACCAGTGGTAACGATGAAACGCTGCTTGCACCAAGGGGGCCATGACACTCCCCATAGCGGTCTCATCACCACACCTGTTGCCTTGTCCGTCGTGCTCCATTCCCAGCCTACAATAAAAGTGAGACCTCACCGGTAAGAATCAGAGGGGCCGTGGATTCTGCTTGATTCCACTCTTGGAAATAAATTCAGGGGAATGTGCGTTTTATAAACTAACGTGGCTTTTGCGGAGGAGTCCCAGAGACTGTGAAATAGAGAATAATCTGACAGAAATGTCTTTCTTGTCCCATAGCTACGGAAAGCGCAGGGGTATCTCTGCAAGCCAGAGTCACTTATTTAGTTTCAGTGCGTGACCTCTTCCCTGTTTTCAGCTCCTCACACTTGGCAAGGAATGAGAGTTGCATGCTGGCATGTACTCTGCCCAAAGTGTGAACAATACTGAGAGAAGCAGGAAAGAAAAGACCTTTTTTTTGGCTTTATAGCTGTCAACAGTGACTTACACATGGCCAGTCTCATGGGCTACTACAAAAGCAGATGAAAAACCATCCTCATGATTCAGGGTACAGCTTCTCACTGGATGACACATGCCTGTGACTGGAGCATATCCTGTAGAGAATAACAATTACTTTTATTTTCATTTTATGAGAAAGCCCATTAAGAACTACTACTGGACCTTTGCCTAGAAAAAAAAAAAAAAGAGCTTTTCAGGAAACAGAGGCAGTATTATTTTGCTGCTAGCATTGTGCCACCTTCTCTTGGGAAAGCCACACACAGGTAATGGTCTCTAAAAAGATTCACTGGGTCTGCGTTTTCTCCTTCCCTAAGGGAAGGAACTGCCTGGGGTTACTATTCTGTTCTGCCCACCAACAAAGCCCTGTCTTTCTGTTTTTAGTGAATGGTCCTTCCTGTGATGGTACTGATAAAGGGAGCCAGAAATTCCATCAACATTGAAAAGAACTCATCAGTCCACTTTTTTTCCGAAGTCTACATCAGAATTTATTAGATAAATGGAAGCTGACTTTGGAAGAAAGCTCTTTGGCAGCAATCATTTCTCATGGCATCTCCTTTCCCTTTCCGAGCAGTTAGTGGAAATCACACTGCATTTTACAGCATCCCCTCCACACCCCAAATGCACAGTCATTATTTTAAAGGCAAGTATAATATATTATAGCATTTAAGTGGCATTTAACATCGTGAATTCCACAGAAGTCACTGGAAGCAATAGAAAGAAAGTGTATGCCTGGCTGATGCATGGTGGAAAGTGGTGCATGGTGGAAAGGGAGCTGAACATTTGAACAGACTCCTTGATTTAGGATTATTTTTTAAAAGTCATGCCCTTAAGTTTTTCTTCTGCATATTAATAGAAATACCTTGCATTCCAGCAGGTCCAAAGTCTTGCCTGGTTAAGAAAATTGCATGATCGTGGTGTTCAGAGTGGTTCGGATCAGACTTTTGTTGTTGGCAAGCCCAGCGACACACGTTCTCCAAGCTCCTGGATGGGTTTCCCCTTTCAATGAGGCTGATGGACTAAGAGGAAATAGTGCATTGAAGAAGTGCATAACACTTTCCCAAAGGCTTCCTTTCGTCACTTGCTCTGAAGTCAACATTTGGGAGTGTAATATTTCAAAGATGTTCAATATTATTATTTAGGGCTTATGCATATATCTGCTCTTATTTGGGAATTCTAAAAGCCCATGAAGGTCAATCAAGATCAATGGGACCTGTGTGAAAAGGTGACTGACACATTTATGGGAACATGTAACTCTGACATTTGCTATCATGAGGCAACTCAATGTTAATCATTGGGGTAAGAATTCTAGTAGTCCATTTCCTAATTCAGCTCAGATTTCTTAAGTTTTATAGATATCAAAAACAATTAAAAAAAAAGAGGAAAAGATTCTAGTGTGAGACTTATCCAGAGTTGTTAAAGTGAAAGGTCTTTAGTTAAAATTTTTATTTTTATTTTTATTGGCCCAGAATTGATCAACAAATGTGAAGAACATAAATTCTTCAATGATCTGGCAAAGCTGGTCAAATCTTCATTTCAGGAGGTGGTCAAATTACATAAACCTTACACTGAAGAAAGCAACTCCCCCCTTTTTTTAACCTCAGAGCGATGAAGAGAGGCTCTTATCTGGCAAGTTACAAGCAATGGATTGACATTGCCTGGAATGTTGCTACTACCACATTATGATCAGGAGTTAAAAGTTCAGAGGGAAAAGGGCCCATCCTTCAAGAACCCAGTATCCATACTGCCCGGAATAGTTCTGATAGAATAAGAAATGGAATTTGGAACCCCAAATTAGTCTCTACTTGCCTGACCGGCTGAGAGTTTTGTTACATTTCAGCAAATATCATTATCAGTGTTTACATTCTGAATAAAATTAGCTTGGTTTATTTCATGCTGATCACATACTTCTCCAAACAAATCATATAACAACCAATTGAAGGCTGTTAACATCTCCAGCTGGAGTTGACTTGTATTTAGTGTTAGTAACACAAAGTAGGTCAGGTTTATGGAATACAGTAAAGATCAATGACACCCTCTCATCAGAAAATGATAAGTGGGTGTTAAATACATAATGAAATGCAAACACATGGATTTTTTTCCTGTTTGCTAAATGCATGATTTCCTTAGTATTTCATAATCAGGAGGATTAATTATGGGAGGGGGCATGTAATCTTAAATATCAAGAAGATTGCCAAGTTAGGCACTTTCTCAAAGGAAGAAACCATGGTTATCCATTCCATTATTTCCAAGGACAAGGACACATCTACTGCCATTTTAAAGCCAGCTGAAGTTAGTTACATTACATGAAATTCCTACCGTGTGCATTTTGACTTAACTTTTTGTTTTCAAAAAGGATTAAAGCTCTTCTCAGTGAATATCCACTGTATACTTCATTTTTCTTAAGTGGAACGATATGCATGTAAAATATCGTTTTTAACAAATCATGAGAGAGAAAGGATCTCTGCTATTTTTCTTCACTGATATATTCAAAGCACCTAGGAAGCATCTGACACATAGTAGGCACTCAGCATAGATGTTTTGAAGGAATAAACGGTTCACGAATTTGACGATAATGGGAGACTGAGGAAATTCTCTTTCCTCACATTGGCATCCATTTGTTTTCACCCATATAGTCATACCTAGTGCCAGGATCACTACCTATGACTCCATTAGATAGATAAGCAGAGCAAATGGGATCAGCACAAAAATCATTATCACAATCCATGCTGACTGTGGCGGTTTCTCTTCCTCAGTTAGGTCTACGTGAGATGTCAATACCACATGCTAGCTAGAGCTACAGAAATTTAGTCTTCCGTTTGCTAGCCCAGTCCTTCACGTTCATAGTTCACATATTTTAAGACATTTTACCTTTGCGTAACCCAGCATTATCATGCGCACCAGGACCACATTTATATGCACTCCAAGGGACTCATCGTGGTAAATTTCATTCACCTGGAAACAAAGCAGATCATTGCTAAAAGAAAGGTGGCACGATGATTTCATGAAGTGTACAACATTTCAGGGGTCAGCCATGTAATCACAAGTACTAGAGTCAAGTCACTTTTTTAAAAATTTGGCTTAAGCTGAACTCTCTTACCTTTAGCTTTGAAACAATTCCCAGATATGTGAATTACTGATTTTGTAAACCCCACGGTACAATGAATAATGGAGGATATACTTCAAAGGGCATCATTAAACTATTGTTGTGTTAGAAAGAGTCCAATGTGTTATATTTACATATAATGTTCATCAAAAGCAACCACAAGTGGGTGACTCTGACAAGAGTCTACTAGCTGAGCGTAGCCACAGCCCTGTAGAGGAAAACAGACAGCAGGCATTTGTCTGGGTGCTCATGTCACCACCAGGGGTCCTACGTCTGGTTGGGAGAGCCCATGGAAATGGAGTTGGTATGCAGGAGCTATGGTGGTTTATCTGCAGGCCAGTAAATGGGTAGCCCTCCCAGTGCTCCCCGTCTAGGAGTGGGGCAGCTGAATCAACAATTATTTAGAAGTCCTTCAACATCTGAATTACTAAGGTGAACATATGAGTGCATATTAGATGAATATCACCCTTAAGTATAGCTCAGAAAAGCTAAGTTGAGTCACTCCTTTTTATTTAATTTTTTAAAGTTGGGCTGAAATTTTTTAAAAGCGATTTGGTATACTTTAAAATCATAGATATTAGAATTTAAGCAACCTCATAGTTCATAGCCCAACACAGACTTATATAGATGAGCAAGATGAAGACAGTTGAGGTTAACTGGTATGCAAAACCCACAGTCAACTGTCGGCAGATATGAATCTAAAGTGGACCATCATTGTATCTTCTGATTAAACTGGTACAAAATCAGTGCGTAAAGGTTGCTTATTAAGTTGGCAAATGCTAGCAGGAATGGGAAAGGCGGAGTTACCTGACTAGATTACCAAAAATTCTTAGCTATTCCCAGGGACAGGGACCAAACATTTGTCACAATAACTAAAACAGGGATGGAAAACTAACTGCAATTCTACTTGAGATCCAGGAGACTTGTTGGACTGTAAGCACAGCAAATGGAAAACCTATAGAGAAAAGAGAACCATAATCTCATAGAGAGAGACTTTAAAAAGAAATCTAACTTTGAATGATAGAATGTTCTAAAAAGCTCCCCAACAAAATTCATGAATCATAAAATTGCAAATTACCACACTGACCAAGAAACAGGCGCAAGAAATCCCAACTGAAATATTTCAAGAATCTAATGGGACTGCACAGAACACCTTACAAAATCAAGGCCTGAAATACAGACTAAAGGCATACTTACTAAATTTGTATGGAATGAGAGAGAGGACAGCCAAGATGGAGGTTAAAAAAAAAAAAAAAAGCTGCAGAAACAAGTATATACTAAAGAAGACTAAGTACAGTCTGACAAGAGAAGATGTAGAATCCTCTAAAGTGGAAAAATGCACTACTAACATACACACACATAGAGTTTACAAATGCACATACACACAGAGAAGGGCAAGAGCCAATCCAAGATAAGCCAAGTTAAAAAAAAAAAAAAAACACCTCTGCAATGTGCTCTTGTGTGTCACAGGTGTGCAGACAGGCAGCCCAGGAGGAAGCCATCCCTTTGGGGCCAGGGTATCCTTGAAGTATTGAGTACATTTTATCTATGATGTCTTATAAAAGAGAAGTTGACAAAGATGAATGTATCCAGAGAAGAGTAAAAAGCAAGAAGCCTTGAAAATGTGTCACATAGAGAAGGGGAGACACAGTGGCCAAGAGCCTAACACCGGACACCAATAGTCTTGTTGACCTCTTGGTTCAACCCCTCGTTGTATGGTCTCCATCCTTCTTCGCCTTGGTCAAAGGGGCATAATAAGAATACTACCAGACTGGGCTAGTGCAAGAATTAAAAGATTTAACTCACGCAAACAGATTGCTCAAAAAATTCATGAGTGAGGAGAGAGGGACGTTACGGAACAGGAGAATATGGGAAACAGAAAAGAAAAACCTAGAAAGAAGACTTAATAGCTGCCATATGGAAAAGGGGTTCAATTTATTAGATATATCTACAGAAAATAAATAAAAACCATGGGTTTAAACTGAGAGGGGTAGATTCCAGGTCAATATAAGAAAAGACCAAATGCTGGACCAAAAAACTGTGATTTCTTATGACCTTTTTGGTCACGGGCACATTGTTTTAGCTTACTCCATACATGCTTAATTGTAGTCCGAATCCCCTTCCTCTTCTGAATTAATTATCTGATAAAAAATTCCTAACATTTTAATTCCAATACAAGTAAAAGTCTGAAGACAGGCATGTCACTACCACATTCATCCAGAGACTCAGGGACATTCCAAGAGACTTCTCATAAGGCAGATGCTTTGAATTAGTAACACAGCTGCATCACACATACTCAGCTTCATGTAACTGAAATGTAAATGCATTTGATGTTAAAAAAAAAAAAAAAACCCAAAAGCACAAAATAGGGAAATGATAAAATTTTAAATGAAAGAAAAGTAGTTAGGTAAAAAAACAATAATTTCTAGAGCAGAGATGATGGAAGGAGGGCCACTGCTGAACAGCAGTGACAACTGTACTTTAAAATGCAGGAGACATGGGGCGACTGGGTGGCTCAGTTGGTTAAGCGACTGCCTTCGGCTCAGGTCATGATCCCGGAGTCCTGGGATGGAGCCCCACATCGAGCCCCACATCGGGCTTCCGGCTCAGTGGGGAGCCTGCTTCTCCCTCTGACCCTCTCCCCTCTCCCCTCTCACGCTGTTTCTCTCTCGCTTCCTCTCTAATAAATAAAATCTTTAAAAAAAATATTTTAAATGCAGGAGACACATCAGAAATCTTAGACTCGTACAATGGAGGAAAGGTGGCAACAATGACAAACAGCTTATGAGAGTTGAGTTAGTATAGTGTATAATCACCCTAAATTAGTAAATTCATCTGTATACTGGGGAAATTTTAAAATCAGTACAATACCAAGGAACTCCAATGGACAAAATTTATGTTCCCCATGGTAATAGTACATTATAAAATGATGGAGTAGAAGGACACTTCTTTAAAAGTCAAAGTTACCATTCACCAAATGAAAAGTATTGTTTAACAAAAGTCACTATGATGCCAGGCTAATTAGATAGCAGGGTACGCCAGCAGAAACCAAATAAAAAATCAGTCAGGGAACCTTTTAGGTCAGCACACACTTGTGAAACTGTCACAGGACATACATAAATTATTATGGGTAGAAATCACCAAATACAAGGCAATGGTATGTGCACAGAGCAGAAAGTATTCCTTCAATATGGCAAACCATCACACCTTAGATGTCAATGCAAAGCGCTAGATAGCACTTATTATCCTGTTTTTCAAAGTTTAAAAAAAATACATTATTCTCTTTAAAATGTACTTAATAATTTGGCTGCTTTTCATCTTGCTAGGCCTTATTAATAAGAGGATGCAATGTTTTTATACTCAGAGGCCTACAGGATATGATGAGTTGAAGAAATAATCAGCACCATAGGATAAGACATTCAAAGACCTGGATTCTCTCCCAGCTATGCCACTGAAAAACTGAGGGACCTTGGGCTGATCACTTAACCTCTCTGGGCCTCTGTTTTCTCACTGGCAAATTATGACTGGAAGCAGGCTCTGCCTGCTTCAAAGAGTTGTTGTCCAAATCTAGCAAAATGCCACACAATTGCCCTCAGAAAAACACAAAGAACTTTAGCACCCTTCCATCTATTTTTGGGAAAGATTTTAAAGACTTATGGGTGTATTTTCATAATCTACATGAAAAGAACAAGAAATACAACTGCCTCCTTCTTAGCTGTTATCTTAAAGCGACTGCAAAACTCTTATACTTGAAATCTCAATTGAATGAAAGATGTGATTTAAATTATATCTATAAAAAAATGGGAAAAATCATTTGACACTTAAATTTTTTCAAAAATACTGTCATAGTGTACAAAACTCTTTCCAGCAGATGGCAGTATGCACATTTTTGAGGAGGGTAAAGGCTGCTTAATACACCTGGAGGTATTTACTCACCAGTTGCTTAATGTCTGCCTTTTCCTATATTTATACATAAATAAAATAACTTCCTTAAAATTAAATGAGAGTTTTAAAATATTCTAGCCTAAGGAAAACATTGAGTCATTTGACTCTTGAAAGCAAAGAAAAATATTGAAGACATCTTTCATTTAGATTGTTTTTCAATGTCATCTATTAAAACATATGAGAGGCATAGAGAAACTCCCAGAATCTGACTATAAATTAATCACAGATTTTTAACAATCAATAAATTATATACAGAATGAACTAAAAACATATCCTACTGAATGAACCACTTGAATCTGTCAAGATGAACTAAAATAATATTTGTTAAGAAAGCATTTTTACAACTCTTAGTGACAAGGAAAGCAATTTTTTTCCTAAGTAAAAGCAACAGCATCAAACAAAAACAACACCTAACATTATACAGAGCTTTTCAGATTCTAGACACTGCACTAAATATTTCATATTCATTCAAGTAATCCTTGCAACAACTTTAGAGATATTATCATTTCCATTTTACATCTAAGATGTTGAGGCCCAGAGAAGTCAAGTAACTGGCCCAAGGTCACACAGTCGATAGTCACAGCAAAGGATAAAAACCTAGCCAGTCTGACTCCAGAGTCAGTAGTGTTCACCATCTTGCTATACTTCCACAGACCCGCAGACCACAGTACCATCACTCTGCACAAAACAGCTGGTTCTAGAATAATCGATAGTGATTTGCTATCCCTGAATTTAAGAAATTGGTGTGTGAGTATATTGAGAAAGAGGACTTAGCAACTTCACTTTTTTTCATAATCTTCCTTCATGTAAATTTTAAGGAAATGAGGAATTGGACTCTGAATTTACTATAAATAATGATTTTTTTTAATGATCAATATGATGGTATTCTAAAAATACTAGGAAA